GGGAATATATTGTTAATTCGCCCTCCATTTCCTCGCTGTAAAAGAAGGATTGGCATGATTGTGTTACTCATGACCGAAGACGCAAGGGGAATCTATGTGTGTGCCTCTCCAGAAGCTTGATGTAAGTTTATGCGGTAGACGCTCTTTGATGCTCATGAGCATACGTAGATCCTTACATGCTAGATCCTGGGAGTAAAAAGGAACATTTGATCTGCTCAAGAGACACGCGGGGTAGCGACCATGTGTTCGCCGCGAATTGCTGTAGCCGTGATTAGCTCTAGACGATGTACAGGAATCTGCTCGGTGAATGACATTGAGTTTCAAACATCAGCATGAGGACGACAGGCAGTTTGCGTGACGCACCCGCTAAAAGTGGCCGCCAGTGGCAGCTGCCAGTTGGAGCTGTGATGTCCCGCTCACCTTGCATGCCCATCTGCCCATCTGTCCTCCCCTCTCTCTCTCTCTCTCTCTCTCTCTCAAATTGAATATGTGGGCTGTTCTTAGGCTTTGTAAGCATAGTTCTCTTCTTCAATAAATCACACCATGAGACCAAGCTGCAGAATGCTGTTGTGCTTAATCTCCATGAGTCTTCTAATAAAATACTGAAACTACAACATGCACTCTCCTCTTGGGAGTGTATGTTTCGGACGAGGAAGAAGGGGCAGAGAGATATGGATTGCGCCTGATCGACAACATGGTCAGCAGCTAGTCACTGACTGGCTGATGGCATTAGGAATGAAGCAAGAGATAGAGAGAGTTGTCCGAGTCCTCATCCATGTGCTCCATATCTTCAAGTCCCCGAATTGTTGGAGAAACACAATGAGTGGGAGGGAGAGGAAGCTTCCGAGCCTCAGGGAGGGAGGGGAGGGTGAAGAGGAAATGGAGTTGGAGAGAGCCCAATAGCATAAAACAAAAAAGGTGCGAAAAGGGAAAAATGTTTTTGGCAGGATGCATGAGTGGTAGAACTCATCAGGTTCTCTTGGCACTTCGACTTTACGCTGGCGAAGATCCTTCAGGATAGGAGAGGTCCACCTTTTCATAGGCCAAAAGAATGTGGATAATGCGACCTGCTCGTGACAAGGCGAATGTATCCGTGTTGACTTGACTTGAACATTGATTTGCACTTCCTCGTCCAGATCTTTAAGTCGTGAACAGCTAAGTCCTGTTTTTCGCTGAGATCGAGATGCCAGTCATTCATTGCCAAGCAATAACTTGGTGTAGGTCTCCACAGTAACTGACTTAGAGGCTAGTTCTTTGCAAATCCAAAAGCTGAATCTCGCTGTTACCCAACATGTATAAAACGTCCCGTGGAGGTTGCTAGGTTTAGCCTGGAAATCATTTAAGATGATTGGATCGCAACTGATCATTACTTCTTCCACCTTCCTGCCTGCACGAGGGAGATCCTTCAAGCAACTTGTCCTGCCTAATTCTCCCCTATCACAAAGACAACATTATCTTTCAACAGCGTTAGACTTTGGCTTCGATCTAGAGCTTCGTTCTTCACATCTCAGTTTCTGAGTTCATTGTGTTGGTTGTGGACCCAAAAATCCTTTTCCAACTCAACAAATGATATGATAGAAAAAGGGAAGATATAGAAGCTTGTGGGCCAGAAAACGCCTTTGTGCTATAAACAATAGTTTCTAGGCTTTACAGGGATTAGAGGAGAGAATTGCTGCCTATCTTCTAGTGTCCAGTAGAATTATCAGGCGCCCAATCTTTGTTCTAACTAGTTTTGGGCGTGCTACACGCCGATGAGGTCACATGTTGACGAGCACCTTTTGGTTGCTACAAGCAAAATATCCACCTTTCAAACCCCTTCTATGGCTAGGTCTAATGACTGTGAACACACAACACTTCTAACGACCTTAGGTCAACATCGACACCTTCCCCACTGCCCAGCTTACGTCTAGAATTTCTTCCCATAACGATATGGACTAGTTGTAGTAGCCAAAGGTGCTTGTTCTACCGCTTTCTGACAAACTATAAAATATATCGAAGGTAGCACTGAACTGCGATTATAGAGGATGGGAGTATCATCTGGTATCTTTTGGAGTGCACTGCATGATCTTGGCACGATCCAATTTTGCCAGTCCGAACGGGAACCATGGAAGCCGTAGATCATCAAAGTGGGCTACGTTTACGCCAAAAATGGGACAATACCCACACGAAAACACTCAAATTACAATATTAATTGCAGAGTTCTCCGTCATGCTGTTGGCTTTATTCCTCAACTTGAGATTAGCAATGTCAGAGATACTATTTCTTCAGAAAAAATAGACGCAATATAACCACCACCGTCGAGCAACAAGGAATATGGAAGCAAATGGATGCAAAAGCCATGTGTAGACCCTATGACCAGTCCGCAGTGACTAATACGTAAATGACATGACATAAACTACGTGGGGTTACAACTCCAACATTTCCAACAGCTAGTGAAGTGCAACCTTGCCACTCAAACACTTGTGTCACCACGTTCTGATGTCAACAAATCAAAAACCTAGGACAAAACTGATGTTCGACACTCTTTACCTATCCTGGTTTGGCATTCCCAGTGGTGGCCACAAAGTAGAGCCAGTGAGGTTTCTGGAGAGTTCCTCTTGCTAGTCGTGTAAGATGCCACGCTAGTATGTACTTTTAGTGGGATGGGGCAGTAAAATTGGTGATTTCCTAAAACATATACCAGACTGTAAATTGGTGAATTCCTCCACAGCCTGCTCCAGCACTGTAAAGTAACTGGCAAGCGGCTGAGAGGTGATGAGATGTCTTCAACTGACATAGTTCATCAGATGAGATTAGGTGTGCACACACTTTAAAAGTACACTTCTGCACTCGCATCTGTGATTGCATTTCACCTGAACAGAAGAAGAGGAAGACGACGTGTTCCACACTTCAAACTGGTAGTCGTTTCAATGATGTTTTGTTTGTTTGACGTGATTTTTATCTCCTTGCAAAGATCTTCACTTCGAATAAACTCCAGAAGAAGTCAATTAGGTTGCTCACCTGAATGTTTTCTCTGCTTGCCTGCCCAGTGAACTACCAGAAGCAAATAGATAAACTTCCTTCTGGTCATCCAATGGCATCTCGAGTAGATTCCAATTTACAGCTGTTGATTTCCAAAAATATTATTTTTTTCCCAATCGTGTTCTTCATCCCAGATGTTATGTGTTACATTTTTCCTTTTACACCTACCGACAGTATGAATCTACTCAGCTGGATATTATCAAACGAGATGTGACATTTAACAGTGTGATCGGACAATGAGGAGGGAGAAAGTAAGGAGGCATGAACACCAGTGGAAGCCACCGGGGGAACATCAAGTAAAGTTGTAACTTTCAGGGTGGAAATTAAATCACACCAGCCGTTGAGAGCTTTATTCGTAGGGTGGGACCTGAGCTTGTCCAAGCAATTACCATTCTGGTGTGGACACTGAATCAGAAGATCCATAACCTCCTCCGAGAGTTTGATCGAAGGCAACTGAGAAGAATGTGGGTGCAGATTGGTGTTAGCTTATCGCGTTCGGACCTTCAGGCGAGGATCGTGTTTTGCATCGGTCCACAAGTGTGGGAATAGGATTGCAACGTTGACTGATATTTCAGTGACCTGGTGAGTCAATTTTAGTTCAACTATGTAAGATATCTTCCTTCCAAATCCAGGAACTCGGCATAGCAGTCCACTACCGAGCTCGAGCTGGACGTCTCTCAGACTGTTCTCGCTTCCTCGTTTGTCCAGAGCATTGGACTACAAACGCCTGCACTTGCAAATGATAGGTTCACATCGTTCTCATTCTTACATTAATATCGCCGTCCAAGTCTGCCGCATTTTGAACTCTGTCTCCCTGGATCCACGTTCGTCACTTTGGGCGAGGATGGCGATCGTGTTTTCCACGAGCCCGCATTACATGCTGAAGATTCTTCCCTTCTCTGGCGATAAATTTGCTGCACGCTTAGAATAAAATCTCCCAAACACAAGACCCAGATAGTCGACCCATATAGACTGTACGACGAGTTAGTCCGTAAGCGCGTTTGCGAGTTCCGATGAAGCACTTACTAATGCTGGCTGCGGTATTCCTTCGATTTGACTCCTCCCATTTACAGTCTATAGAAGAGGCGCAATGCAATATACAAGTGGAGAAGCTCCAGGCAGTTGTTTCAACATCTTTCAAAGGGATAGCATGACGTCAAGTATACAAAAAATTGCACTATCTTTCGCTTTGCCGGTGTACTTGTACAGAAACCACTAATCTGAGCATGATCAAACTTCTTCTGTTGATTCGCTGTGATGACGAAAGAAGCGAACACTAAAAGTTATAGAAGCACATTATCGCCACGGCCGTTCCTTTGCAAATATGCGGAAGATAATGGCTTACGTAAAAGCTGAAAGCAGAATGTATCTTCAAGTAATCACGTTGGGCCTTTGATTGTTGATTAAATCTTTGTCCCCTTGGAACCAAGTGCACATGAAAACCTTATCACAAGTCGAGCACATGTATGACATCACCACTCATTCGGCCGCCATCATCCTGCATGGTGGCCGAATGTCTTGCAGTAGTTTGAATTGGGAATTGTGAATTGTAGGATCAGCACTCTAAAACATGTAATGCCTTTGGGCATTACTTGCTAATGCAATTTCATAAAGTATTTCAATTGTGAAGTTGGAAAGGAGACTCGTTTTCTTTCCACTAGTTAAGAGGGTAAACGAAAGTTAAATGCAGGGAATCATGTGATAAGCTATATCAAAACTTATTTTTGTCTGTGCCTGAGTCTTTTTATTTTGGGTTTAAATGTGCATAGAAGATGCATTTCAGTCTAAATACGGAGGACCAGCAACCAGTTGCGTTCTTACCTAGAAAAGTCATCCTTTCAAATTCATAAGCCGAACCTTGAAACGTTCTGAAGTAGCCAGGGATGCCTTGAAGCAGACTTATCAATGAGATTCATACATAGCAATCATTCCTTCGTTCGTCACCTCCAATAAGGTCAACGATCCACTGGCTTTCTGTCCCCAAAGGCTTTTTATTCAGACATTATTTTTAACAAGAAGGCCAGGGCAACAATAGGCATTTGCTCCCTATGACCTCTGGCCTCTGGCTTCCCACGAAGCACTTCCAACTCTTAGCCTCGAGAGGTTTCTTTCCACTTTTCGGAACAAAAAAGGTAAACTAAACTGGAGTGGGCACTCTGAGGGCTAGCTATCAAAAAACCTATTATCTATTATCAATCTGCTTTGCGCTCAGTGAAACAGGTTACCGGAAAGGCGACTAAACCATGTGTGGATTTCCCTCCATACGGTGTCGTGGTCTCCACTGTGCCTTCAGTACAGAACTGTACCGGTACTCGGTACTCGGTCCTTCCAATAACTCCTTGTACGATCGATCCTGTCTCTCCGTCTGCACAGGCATATCCACAATGTTTCCAATGTGGTCATGCAATCGAAACTTGGCGGAGTAATGTCCTTTTCAAACGTTTCGTCAACACTTCCTCTTAGCGCCGTAATCGCGTCGCAGCAATGGGTCAACAGGTCACAAATAGATATGAATACTTAGGTGCTTATTGTGATTTAAAACTAATTGTAGACGTCTTTCTTTAAACTCCAGCATTCGGGCTCGACAGTGCACAACGTAGCTCATTGAGATAGTGGCAGTTGAGAACTCAAAGATGTCTGCTATTGGATTTCCCTGGTCTGCCCAAGTGCACAATTAGAAACTAATGTACACTGATCAAAATTAGCACCTCGCAGGAAATTGATTGGGCGTTCGGCGGGAGCGAGTGAAAGATCTCCAAAAGATATGGTTGCTAAGAGCTTCGGAGAGCTGTGGCATTGGTTAATTGCGTATGATTGATAGCGAAGCAGTTCCACACAGTCATCCACAGATTCCACTCTGAGGCACTCATAGCACAAAATAAGACCAAAATTCTAATAAAAGCCGTCTCTGCCCTCTAGCAAAAATTAGTCAGATCTTCATTTTAGCTCACCTCAAGATTTCCGCAGCTCCACAATCCTCCACACCGCACTCCAAACTTTCTTAATAATTTCCTATTTCTGTTTTTCTTTCCCACAACTGTAGAGGCACCAACAAAAGAGATCAGAACAGTTCAGGCCAGCTCTTGTTATTACTCAGGCCTCAAGACTCTGAAGTTCATAATGCTTCCAGCCAAAATCAGTATGATCGTCAGCACGTTCTGATTCGACCAGAATCACCATTAAATCAACCAAGATTAGCTAACGGTGATATCATTTCATTATACGTCAGCCATGAAAGTAATGCTGCCCTGAACTCGGATGAACTTGCAAAGTCAAAGTAGCAGAGCAGGGAAATGGTATATTTAACAAACTAAGAACTTTGCCAGCCATGACCATTAGACCAGTCGTAATCAAGATAGCCAAGTTTAACGGATGCACTTTCTGCATTGGCGTGTTTGTTCTGGAAATAGGGAGCCATAACACCTCGTAATGAGATTGAGTTTGGGCGATGGATTACGTGTTTGTGCATATAAAGAAGTGCACACTATTTCTGTATCGACACCAAAATCACCTCACTCGTCTACCGCAACTCCTTGTTGTACATGCAACATAGACTTACCGTTGCCTTCAAATCACACACACATGCATGAATTACAGGGAGCATCGGGATGCGCACAACTTGCCGAAGAGGTACGTTCCAATCCATTGTTTTTAATCTAATCATGTGTGAGCACGAGCGTCAACCTTTGTAGGTCCATCATGTGAGCTACCTACGTTCATGGAAAACGCATCAAACCTGAAGTGCTTCTTTACTCCGAATGATTTAGCGTGTTGCCTGCCCGACGTATAATCTGGCATTTGACTAGGGTTATGCCGAAATTGCCCCTTCAGGACCACCTCCAGACAAAGAACTGTACGATAATTAAGTTTCCCAAGCGACAAAGGGCATGGGCAGCTCTTTTTAATAGATGGAAATGTTAAGAGCAGAATCTTCAAAGGGCAGCAATAGGAGCTCGCGACTTACTTATTGAGCTCCAAGTTCCATGTTACAACACGGATCTCGAGCCACAATCCGTCGTCGAGTCAAGTCCAAGTCAATTCCTACAAGCAACATTGACAACCTTCGTTCGTCTTTGGGCGTGTCCTGCTCGGAGGCAATTGAAACACGAGGGGATGGAGTTCATCAACTCTATCCCTCAATCCGCGCAGAGTTTGGACTACTGCGTTGGCCCTTCGCACGAGTCGAACCGAGCTTTGCAGCAGCTAACCAGATCATCTTTGTGGACACTATCCAAGAAATGGTCTCTATCCGAGTTTGGTAGGATGTTCCCAAGCTTTCCTGCAAAAGGTACGCCTACTGCATTTATGTAGCAAAAAGCATCCTTGGATGTTTTACCTTTCACCCTACACATGTCATTGCAGTGGAGTGCGTGCTTTGAACTTATGCACTGGACTTTAATCAGGGTGCCACACACAAACCTAGACCAGGAGAGAAAACCATAACAGAATGCCAGCCGAACATGAAGGCAATTGTGCTACTTTTCATCCAATTTGGTGTCTTCTCGCTTGGGGGTGCATGCCTCCTTTGGACCACTTCTTCAACTTATCCCTCGGACTCTTGACGGGCTCATGGAACTAAAGTCATACTCTACCCGACTCTCCCTATCTCCTCCCTCTCCATAGCGTGCCTCGAATTGTCTTCTCCTCCGCAAGAAAACGAGAACCCACAGCTACTCACTCTGGTCAAATGGATCGTCTGCTAAGCCAGACCATCGCTGAAGGTTTGACTTGTGCTCTATGGATGACGGTGCCTGTAGCGGCAGGATCGTGTAGCTCGTGGAACTCGTCTCCACGAACGGAGGCTGTGAAAGGCGAGACATATGCTACGTGCCGGGACTGCGTAGCAGCTGAGGTCCATGTAGCAGAACCCGGGAGAATGCGTCATTAATGTCGATGCTTCGGCCAATTACCCTCCTCGGAATGCAAGGCAAAACCCCCGCATTTAACCTCGGACAATCGCGCCTGATGAAGCACTCAACCCTCCACTAACATCACCATCACATGATCCTTTCTACTACTCCAGCAGCAGCAGCAGCCGCAGCCGAGAGGCCCAGATTCCCAGGATCCGTTCGTTTGTTTGTTTGTCGCCTTTAGGCACCTCTTGTCATCTTGGCGGACGAGATACGAGCCACACATTCATCGCAGTCAGCTTCTCGCTCTCTTGTGGTATTCGCAACTCTGCTCGAGGATAAGCTTCCCTTTTTAGACTGCACTGCTTCCCATCATCCCCATGTCTTCTCTTCACCCTTTTCCCCCACCTCGAGAAAGTCACCGTCTTGTCAAAGGTCCGGTCCGGTCCACTGCAGTGGACCAATTTGGCATCAGCATTTGCATCTGCATCTGCATCTCCATTGCCACCTCCATCTCCTTCTCTTCCTCTTTCTCTCTTCGTCCCCCTCGTCAATCTTCCGATGTCTGCACGAGGAAATATCTTTCGAGTTTGCACCTTTTCCACATTTTTCTCGTCCCGTTTCACACCGCGCCGGATGGAGTTCAGAAATTTTTCTTCAGTGAGCTCATGGACGTCGGGACAAGTATTGTATTGCTGCCGGAGCTCGACGTCCCGCTAGCCTCTCGAGGCAGCGCCGTGACAGAACGTGACCGGCACGATCCGTAGCCTTCTGGCAGCGTGCTCGGCGCCACCACGGTCGGTTTCTTACCCGGTTACCCATTTACGTGGTTTTCCGCACTGTGCCAACAAAGGGTGGGCATGAACTTCGGAACTCGGAATGTCAAATGTCTACCAAGTACTAATCCCCAAACTCTCCTGCAACTTATCTCCAAATTGTATAATTAGAGTCTTTTTTTATACAAGATTAGGGGGTTTCCAATCAAACTATAGCCTTTTAGTTTTTCGATTAAAACCTTACGGAGATGGAAAACTCTGACAAAACTATCTTCAGTACAGCAAAGAAGTTTAATAGTAAATTGAACAGGTTCTGAAACTACTTATGCAGCGAAATCTTATCGAGAGTAACAAAGACTTTGAAAACCCCAAAACATGTGAAAATTCAGGAAAAGTGAGTAATTTCTGGGGGAATTAGATAATTGATATAGGATATATTTCAGGGGCTAAATTTCTGAATAACTCGGTCCAGGTGTACGTATATATATAGATTATTTATTGCATCGGATATATGTTTTTCATATAAGACATCCAAGTAAAACGATGTATATGCATATCCATAGACCACTGTAATCATGTTATCATAAGTAGATTACAAAATAAAGTTAATAAAGTGCAGTTTATTATAATAATCAGAAGAATGGAAGAGACTAAAACATTACGCAAAAACGACAAATTACGGGAAACGTCCATCCATCTGCGCACATATTAAATACGCACAAGACGATGTGAGAACTCGAGGGGACGGCAGGACGGCAATTATGACGATCCGCAAAGAATCCGACGGCGAGGCAGGAAAAGAATTTGCGCTTCCAAGAAGGGCCTCTGAAGATGCCGCCTCTATGCACAGCACGAAACCTAATCCCGCTATGTCGTGCGATCTGACGACTCGCCGTCGAGTTTTCTATCGAGGCAGGCTCAGATCTGCCGAGTCCGAAGACATGTCAAGAAAGCTCGATAATCACATGCCGCTACATTATTGTGAGCCATACAGAATCTCTTGCGATGTCAGGCCGTGTCTGGATTCTCGTTCACTCACTCCCTCACTCTCTTTCTCTCTCTCTCTCTCTCAGAGTCATGTAGGTTATCGAATATGAATGAGGTAGACCTTCTGAGAGGCAGGCAGGCGTTCGTTCGTTTTGTGCAGGTACTCGAGAGGGTTGCAGAAATCCTTTTACACATTCCCAAATTGCCGATTTCTTTCTGCTTTTGTCTGAATCCACTTTCTCCGACCTCTGCATGGAAAACAAAGCATATTTTATCCGGTGTCAGCTCGACTTCTTGCTCTGAGTAATCCAGATTCTGCACATGCGTGACATGACGGGAAAAACATGTTCAGAGCCCTCAGACTTGTCATGTTCGACACCCGTATTCCTCGTAGGTTTCACACGTTATGTGACTGATTCATGATCGATGGACTACTACTCCACCTCCTCCTCCTCCTCTGGTAGTCTGGACAGTTCAGCTTTCAAATACAAGACTGCCGTCGTACGTGCTACGTAGAGAAGCAGCAGCAGCTTTGAGAGGACTGCCAATTATGGCAGTCCCATGACATAGGGACATTTGTGTAGTCTCAGCTCTGGAGTCTGCAAACTGAAGACTCATGGACCCGGTATGATTCGTAGGAGGGACAGCACAAGTATCAGAGACCTCCTGCACATCATAGGTCCGGCGATCATTATGTATCATGTAGTTTCTAGGCACATATGAGAACGAACTTCGAGGATCTCGACAAAGAAGTCAACAAGAGGAAGAGAACAGGATGCAAAGAACAAAGATGAAAGATAACCCTGAACTTGACTGAGGTACGACATCGCCGAGCTTGCCCCATATTCTCCACCCTCTTGAAAGTAGGTAATCTAGCACATATGCCTGTGAATCTTTCTTGGGCGCTCATCGATGATTTCATCTACACCATCTAGCGAGTAGTAGATGATCCATGATAATCTGTACTGTGCGTGGTCGTCCTGTCCCAAACACTGTCCCTGAAGAATATTTCAGTCGGATCTTTGGGGGAAAAAAACAAATGCAAGCGAACTCATCAATTTTTTGGATCATGTCACTCGGCTGGGCTGACATCGTTACAAGTAGAGTCCTCAAGTTGAACTTGGAATCTTATGTGTCTATGTCCATCTGACTAACTCTGGGCGACTCCTGTTAGTGCAAAAAGCTCTTGACTATCGCTAGCTTTCGACCGTGATCGCAAGTTGCATAGTCCGGAAGTTAGATGATTGTATTCATAATTCGATACCGTCAGTTGTCTGACTTTGGGGCGGATTGTTGGTTCTGCATGCAAGAACGACATGAAGATGTTGTTCGTGTGGATTTATTTTGTGACGTTTAGAAGTTTAGACCGCTATTTATCAGCTCATTCGTTGTTCTCTTTGTTGTCTTGGTTCTTTTCGAGTGACTTCTGAACACTTGGCAAAGAGACGGTTCTGGACAAAATTGATTGTGGACTTTATTCGATGGACTAAGCAAAGCAAGGTTGGTGTTTTGCGCAAAAGTTCACTCGCGGCATACGTCACGTCTTTCTTTGTTTCATGCCAGCTCATTGGGGGCTTGTCATACTCGATATTTGTTGTGTATCGTTGTTGGGGAATTTCTGACTACAGGCGACGGAAGACATTCCAGAGCCTGGGTTTGGCTTTCCTTCAGAGAAAAGCTCTTCCTATTTTATTGATTGTGAAGGAGGACCGGGCTTTGATTCTCCCCATGATTCAACAATGATATCCCTTGGCAAGATGATGAACTTCCTCTTTTTTCGACCAAAAGTGGAAACCAAATTCTTTTTTAATTCCTTTTGTCGACCAAAAGTGGAACTGAATTCTTTTAATTTATATTCTCCAAACACATGGATATCAGTTCTATGCACTTTTCTGCGAAATTATTCAACCTGTCCAGTCTTTGGAACCTCAACAATGCTACAACCTTTCTTGCTGAAAGAAAATTCCTGCTTCAATGTATTGAGACTTCGTATGCGAGTTGCAGTACTCTTCGTCGTTCGAAAGTGGTGAGCCTTTAATTCGCGGTAATCTCATTCTGTCTAACGCGAGAAGGTATAAGCATGACTGCTCGAGGTCCAGTTGCAAGGTGAGCTTGCATGTCGAGCGAGACATCTTTATATCTGCGAGAAGCATGCCCTCATGCCCTCATGCCCTCACATAACCCTCGGCCATGCTAATGCCCTCATCAGCTTCATGCTCGACGGTTCTTGTTTATCATATCGAGTACTTTTTCATAACTTTTCCAAGAATTGTCAAATGGCAGGAAATTGTCAACATGATTTCTGAAAAGAGAAACCTCGCATACAAGCAACCATCTACAACCATCAAAGATTGGGCCCTAGCACCATCCCCTACCCCTTTGGATTCATCCATTGTGCGACTTGATGGAGTCTTCCCATCCATTTGCTCTATTAGTTGGTGGCCTCGTTCATATGAACAATTATGGAGTTTTCTTCTCGAGCTCGAATTATGCTCAACGGAAAGAAACTCTATGAATGTGTCCTTATAAACTCGATATATAATGGGAAGATTTTGGAAATTCGGGAAATGTACATTCGGGAAATGGTACCAGATTTGGAACCTGTTTTAACAGCCATCGGCGCGAGATTCTTGTAAGTCCTTGGATTCTAAGATCTTCAATTATTGTCAGAACCTTAAGCTGTCTACAGAGGATCGGGTGTAAGGACAGGAGAAAGGATTTCCACGTAATGAAGCTTCCAGCTCACTGTGAAGTGCACGAGAAATGAACGGCTGTTGTTTTGTTCATCTGCTCGAGATAGGTCACATGCATCGAGGTTTGGGTTATGCAGCGCTTTACCTCTCATCAAAGCCGGGGATTCTGTAGTTTCAGGAAAGGAAGAGGTCCGCGACTTGCTGCTCTGAAGAGCCTCAAATCACCTTTCTGGGTGTCAGATGACGGAGCAGGCATATGGGTTTTTGTTGATGCGCTTGTGTGATGACTCGTATGGATGTTGTATACTCACTTTCGTGTCAGGATTCTGCATGATCATTGGTGCGATCTGACGTGCTTGTCTTTCTCTTTCACTCCTAGGAAATCAAAACCATCCTACATTTGCTATACGAGTCGAGGAAGATTTTAGTCCCTTGTTCCTCCAGTAACAATCAATTGTCGAGCTTTCATCTTCATTCAGGTCAATAACGAGGAAGCTCTGTCCCTATACACATCCACTTCGGGACACAATCGGATGCGTGGGCTCCTTTCGACCCAATCATGAACACGTTTTCGTCAGGAAAACTTCGCATGTCTCCCATATTCTATCGGTAGTAAATTGAAGAGAGCTTAGAAGATCTAGCGTGGCTGTAGATGATTTCTGGAGAGAGAGACCAAAATTCAATCAATAAGCTTTGTAGTTCTGCGTACCCAATTGCTACATCGCAGGACCTTTTCGCTCGACAGAAGGAAGTTTTGGGCTAGTTTACTGCTTGACTGGGCTTTCCGAATCCCAGGACGGTGCTGCCGAGCGCAAAGCTCAGCTTTCAGGGATGGGACAATGGGCGCCCATGGAAGAAGGAAAAGTGTGCAGTAAAGTCCTGCTCATGCGAGGAGAGTCGGTCGGTGTGGAACCTGGAGGTGCTCTAACCGATCACGCTAGAATCAGAAGGGCTCCACTCTGCGAGTGGCAGAAAGGAGGGAGCACAAAAGCGGCAGATAAAGGCGACTACTACTACCGTTAGCAGACTGGCCACAAGTTGTGGGGAGGGAAAGAGGACCTGTCAGCCACCTCCAACAACAGCTTAGATGCTGCTGTCACGGTGACAAAAGGAAATGGCCACATATTCGGGGGTGGTGGTGCCAGTGCTAGATCATAGGGCACCCCATGGTGCAGATCCGAGGTATGGCAGACTCTGTGTTGCATATACCAATATATACTATTGTCGATGTGCATGTACGAGCTTTAGAGTTGTCTTTCTTGACTTCGGCTGTTGGGTCGTTCACCAGCAGCAGGGCCTTGTTCTGCTTTTCTGTGCTGCTGCTGCTCAGCCTCTGCAACCGCTTGCTCTGCCCCGTACGTGCTTCCCGAGGTGTGTGGCAGGTGTGCAGATTTGGGAAGTGTCGCAGAGTGTTGAGCAAGGACATGGGATGGATTTAGGTTCATCACTAGGCTGGCACACACCAGGCTTCGCATCATTGACCTAGATTTTATTCTGCAGAATTTCGGCAGCCAATGTCACCACCGCCCATACGATTCACTTGTCCCCCCTCCACAATCACCTCCAGGATCCCCGGGCAAAGACAAGCTCGTATTTGTACATTCATCTCGACCCAGCCCAGTGCCCGGCTGGTTTTTGTGCATCGTCTGCAACCACGCAAGAGTTTTACCCACATCCCACAGAGGCTGAAAGACATCACAGAGGACATTGCCATTTCATCCTGCATCGCGTACACCTCCTTCGAACTAGCTGTGTAACTCACCGCCTGATCGGCTTTACTTGAACGTATGTTGATGAGTAAAATAGTAGAAGATACGAACGCCGACCTCTATCCTCGATCTAAGCTTCCATATCTTTAGACTCGATCACTCTTGACATACGTAACTTACATCTACCCGGACGTACGTATGAAATCTTTGTTCCCTACGCTCGGGCTTCTAACAGATCCGGCAAAGCAGAGAGAAAAGAGGCAATTTCCCTAATCGTTGCGAGGAATTAATGGCTTGAGGGATTGGGTCTGCGTGTTTCATGCATTTCAAAGGCAGGTCCCTCACGGATTCCAGTCTCATGTTGGACAATGTCGGACTACGAGTGTTAATGTTTACTCGTCACATGTTTAACTAAAGAGGAGCCCAGTGGTTTGCATTTGCACACGGGCCAAAGCGACTCGATCAGAGGCTTTATTTGTATCCATGGCCTTAAGTGTACCACCGGGACCAGGTACAGTACTGCAGGGAACGTACAGTACGTATGAATTATGTGTGTGCAGGTACGAGGCTCCACGAATTAAGCAGCACATTATTATTGTTAACTCTTCTCGATCGAATTGTTCGTTCTGTTCTGAACTCTCGCGTCCCACGGAAGAATGCACCGAGCTTCGCACTTCAATGTCTAGCAATGAGCATAGTCTGATTTGAGGTCGAAGCAGCATAGTATTATCGGTACATCGTAGACAAGTTTTAATACGTCGATTCAGGGTTACATCCTGAAGATAGTCCAGGAAAAGGAAATGTGGAAATGTGCATGCAAAAGTGCTTTCCGAGAACTTGCTCTTTAAGCGCACGACACTGTAGACGTAGCACTCTGCCAGAGGAGAAACATTCTTACTAGAGGGAGGTTGGCCATATCACCTGCATCCTGCATCCTGCATCCTGCTCTCTACGCTGTGTACAGGCTCCAGTTATCTCTCACTCAAACATGTGTCTTCCATAGCTAAAAAATAGAATGCACACCTGAACTCACTAGGCATGCATTTGGGACGACAGAGGTAGTTAGGATTTGAATGAGTTGGCTTCCACTTACGAACATGACTAGCAGCAGCAGCCAGTCAGTCAGTCACTTCGTAGATACCTTGTTGGTGAACACCCCCAGGGATTCTCTAGTTTCTCTAGTTTCTCCAGTACTCGGGTGCCATAACTCTACCTCATCCGCAAGTGGATAACCTGAAAAATCTTCCTACGCGACTTTCACTACGACCCCTGTCCTAACACTTCCCAGCCACTGCTTCAAAATGCCCAGTCTCTCTCATGTCTGTAAAAAGCCCAGGACTGGTAAATTGGAACGTGTTGCTCTGACCCTGTCTGTGCCCCAACCATTGACAACTGTGCCTTCCGTGTTTACACCCTCTTACGAGGGTCCAGTATGAACTCCAAATCTCCCAGCGGTGTGACACGATCGGTTACTGATGCAGGCCCGACTGGCACCTCTCCCTGCAGTGACAACGGAAAATGGATTCAGTTGCAATCGGTCGTATGCCTTGCGATCCCGGTGACAACACAAGATCCTGCAGATGAACGGTGCTCCACTTCCAGACCAGGTAAGCTTCCAGACCATACCAGCTCAGCTCAGCACAGAGAGGAACGGAGGTCGACCAACAATTGGACGTACTTTCCACATCCAAGGTCGAGAGAGATCTGAAGGTTCCATTCAGCGACCAGAGCTCAACTTCGAGCTCCCTCCCTCGAATGGTGAAGTTTACGAGAACTAGAACGAGTGAAGGATGTGTTCAGCGGAAGACGATGAGAATCTTCATGAGCTACAAACAAAATCACTTTTGAAGACTTATTTTTGTCTATGTTTGTCCTCCGTGACATCATCAATCAGTCCATGGCAGAACTACGAAGACTCGACGACGACAGCGGCTCAACTCCTCGAGACAAGACAAGCTCCGAGACACGACTGCACGAAAGGACGACGCTCACAAGCTCCCTATCCCTCACCCTCACCCTCGTCGTATCCTCGGTTCACCACACAGCCAAAAGTTTTGTTTTTCTGAAGGTCCTCTCTCTCTCTCTATCTCTCAGTGCGCCTGAATGTCGAGTCCTCCACGGCATACGATCTGTACCTTTCTCACGGATTGCTTGTAACAACCCTTCAGAAATTTGCGAATTGTTATTTGCATCTTTGCAAGCCAGACCCACCAGCATGAGCCGAACCGTAAAAAATATGGCCAAAGGGTCGGGGGATTGTAATCCATGAGGCTTGCACGGGGGTGGGGAAGCGAGTGTACTTCCTCACCATACATCAGGTAACCGTGCCAGCAATGGAAGATCTTGAACTGTGTGCCTGCCTGCCTGCCTGCCTGCCTAGATTACGCATCCACATGACTCGCTTTTGCAGACCCACATCCCACCCACATCTCCACTCTCTCCAGGAGCAAATAAACAATGAATGAATGCTCCGTGCAACCAATGGGAGGAGGAAAATGCTCAGGAAGAGGAAGATGAAGACGAAGCGGGCAGGGAGACTCTACAGGATGGATGGGGTTGATGCGTCGTGGAGTCACTGTAGAGTTCAGAGTGGGTAATCATGAATGAGGACAAAATGTGCACTGCAACCCAAGCTCACAAGGCGAGGGCTTCTTCCCCGGGAGGTAAAAGCAGACGAAAGTGGCTCGTGAGGAGGTTGTGATGGCAGATTGATCAGAAGACGACAGCTTATTTCGGGTTCAATGCCTCTCCTGCTAGCTGCTGAAACCTGAAACTCTTGACCACTCTTCCAGCCGCAATGGTTACAATCTGACCCCTCGCATCCTAGCACATGTCTTCTCAGTGTAGATATGGTATCCGAGAGCTCCTGACTCCACATTCGTCTAGCCTTTCCCGACTTTTGAGGAACCCGGGACTCGTCCAACTGTTGGTCAGTCCTCGCTCTCTTCATAGTTGAATTTCTCAATTGGCGGTAGGACGAAAAGCTATGCATGCAATGACTTGTAATACAAGCAGACTGTTGAGCTCTGTGGGTAGAAATTCGTCCTTCTGTTTGCCACTGTACTACATCTGTTTCCCCAAAAGAGCTCAAGATCGTATATTCTCCAGCAGAGTTGACAATCTCCACCGGGGACCTTGCCTACCCTTCAAAGCGAACGCTATGCATATAGATCTGAAGCTTCTCTGAATGCACTTCCCAAGCTGCTCCCACCAGATGATCCAGTTGAGGAGATTTTGATCTTTAATACGCTGCACTACAACCAAGAACTCTCCTGATAGAGCATGATCTCGTGTCTTATCGGGAAACAGACTCCGTGAGATACTGAAAGGTACATTCCGCTAGTTCATGGCAATGTTCGCGGGAGGTTCTCAGAGGGGCTGACTCGTTTGTCAGACAGTCTCGTTCAGAAGAAAAATCGACGAAATCTCAGGTTTCAAGGTATGTCAAGTGAACAGACTCAATATGTCACTGGTCGAATTGACAGACAGGATGTGAATAAGAATAAAGAATATCAGATCATTATCTATGCAGATGACTAGTCGCAGTGAGAAACATACGTGAGGGCATGAGTGGCAGTATGTTAGTGCATCAGTGAATTGCATATCGAGGAAATGAGAACTGAAAGTCTAAGAAACATGGGTTCTAATCGGGGCAGCTCTATGACAGAGTGGGATGTCGTGAGTTAATGGCAGTTTGTGGACAGTAACCTCACCTGGCCCCAAAATTTGTTGAACTTGGTCACTGTCAAGTCGCCCTCTACTTGCACCTGCTTATCACTAGGACTGTCAGAAAAGGTGAGCCTGAGAAAAGGAATGATTCATCATTCACGAGATTCTTTTATTGCGAGACGAATTTGGAAATTGATCAGGTGAACTTGAAGTTACTACTATTGAATGTGCCTGAAAATTGTACCTGGCAAGCGAGCCGCAGGTTGGCATTTTGAGGTGGTCCATGTGGAGGGAAGTTCAGGCGAATGGTTTCCCTCGTAGTCCAAGCTTCCGGTACCACTTTCCCTTCAATTTTCACAGCACAAGTCCCGCACGTTCCCATTCCCCTGAAGAGCATGATTCGCCGTTCAGAACGTAGAAAAGAACTGCATTCCTCGCATGTCAGAGGATTCGGTTTGACAGCCTCAGAGTGGTCTGGATAGGGGAACTTTGCGAGCACCTACAGAGGGGGAAATGAGCATCTCCTCCAATACTGTATGCGTAAACAGAATTGTCCGAGCGACGATAAATTGAATGAGGATCGGAGAATCTGAAGGCTGGAATCAGTAGTCATGGCATGGTAGCTGCGGAAAGAAGGAATGAGGTATGACCTGCAATTGATCAGAAGAGCCTGTCCATTGTGAGGAGAAAGTCCATTCTCGAGCAAAGCCGTCCTCAGCTTGGTACCTTTGGCAACGGAGATTTCATTTCCCCTGAATCGAACTGTCACCATTTCCGCAGCACCAGAGTCTCCTCCTTCGTCTCTGGGAACTGTCGAATTCTGCCTAGAGAGCGAAGAAACGGGCTGCAAGTGCACCAACTGTGCAGCCTTCTTCTTCGCAGCCTTCACTCCCACCACTCCCGGTCGGAAACTCTGTACGCTCTGCAATCCTCTCATAGCTGAACTCCTCCTCCCTCCTTCCTCTTCCCAACCGAGCTCACTAGAGCGGAAATCAGCACTGCAACGAAAGGCCCTATCCAGTACCGTCGAATTGCGCAGCTGGAGCTTACTAAAGTCATTCACCCACCGCATGAAATCATGAAATCATGCTCAATTCACAAATTCGACAGAGGCAGCAATTTGTGTATCTGGGATGCCTGCCGCGTAGTTGAGAATTCGATGGCTGTTCTGACTCTGAATTCAGACATTTCAGAGTTTCAGCTGAACCCATGGATCGATGAGCGAGTCCGGTTCCGACAAACCATTCGTTCTTCGCAAAGCGACGACATTATTTTCCGGTTACCGCTTCTCCCGACGGTGCTGCTGACGGTGACGGGCGACGGTCGGCGTACATGTTGCGTATTCTCAGAAGGCTCAACGAGTTTGACCAACAGATAAAGCACTTGGACTTGAACTCTGGTTCACCCACGTGGCCTGATAGAGCAATCTATTTAGAAAAAAGTCCATATTTCTGAAAAAAGTATATTATTTTATAATTTTATACACTTACAACCAGGGCATTTGGTCTAGTGGTATGATTCTTGCTTTGGGTGCAAGAGGCCGCGAGTTCGATTCTCGCAATGCCCCTCAATGTTACACCAGTTTCAGTAGGAGGTGCAAGAACACAAATTTTTATTCTTTTTCTCAAAATCCTGTTGGAGGTGCATGAATAGAGAGGCAAATCATCTGTTGGATCTAGCCGACCATTGAGTAATGGGAGAGAGGCGTTATGAGCTCAAGAAAAGTGAACATACCTTTTCAAATACACTATCTATTACTACGATAGGTCGTTTTATATTGACTATTACCACTAATCTTAACACAAGAAACGAATTTTTACTTCAGTCCTAAACCCAAAATATGTGCTTTTTAAGTTTCACTAAAAATGGAGAGGTTTTCATGTGATTTTTAAATCTCTCTTCAATGCCTTTTATTTGTGAGCTCGGTTGGGAAGAGGAAGGAGGAGTTCAGCTATGAGAGGATTGCAGAGCGTACAGAGTTTCCGACCGGGAGTGGTGGGAGTGAAGGCTGCACAGTTGGTGCACTTGCAGCCCGCTTCTTCGCACTTTAGGCAGAATTCGACGATCCCCAAAGACGAAGGAGGAGACTCGATTCAGCGGAAATTATATCTCCTTTGCTAAAGGCACCACGGTGAGTACGGCTTTGCTCGAGAATGGACTTTCTCCTCACAATGGACAAGCTCTTCTGATCAATTGCAGGTCATACCTCATTCCTTCTTTCCGCAGCTACCGTGCCATGACTACTGATTCCAGCCTTCAGATTCTCTGATCCTCATTCAATTTATCATCGCTCGTACAATTTTGTTTACGCAAACAATATTGGAGTAGATGCTCATTTCCCCCTCTGTAGTTGCTCACAAAGTTCACCTATCAATATCACTCTGAGTCTGTCAAACCTAATCCTCTGATATGCGAGTTGTTTTAGTTCTAGAGTCAGAGTGCGTCCAATTTTGAGTTTCGAGCTTTGAGTTTCAAGATTTGAAATCAAGAGATTCTTTCGGGAGCTGTTTCTTCAACGTTTGGAGTGATTTGGAGCTGAAATTTTGTGTCACGCTGAAGCTAGGCAAGGCACACTAGCCTGCAAAATCTCAAGCCGAACGCCATTCGAAGCAAGCAATTGACGTGTCTCTGACGTCTGAGCTTTTTGAGATGGGAGGGCCGAATCTTGCAGGGGCCATAACTTCGGGCTCGAGTGTGAACAGATACTGAAATTTTGTGGCATTGTGACGTTCGGCAAGATGCTCAAGCCTCTCAATTTTCATATTGAACGGAGTTCTAGAGTCGGAGTGCGTCCAATTTTGAGTTTTGAACTTTGAGTTTCAAGATTTGAGGGCAAGAGATTCTTTCGGGAGATATTTCTTTGACGTTGGGAGTGACCTGGATCTGGAACTTTGTGACACGCTGAAGCTAGGCAGTGCGCACAATCGTGCAAAATCATAGGCTGAACGCCATTTAGAGCGAGAAGTTGACGTGTCTAGGAGGTCTGAGCTTTTTGAAAGGCGAGGGCCAAATCTTGCAGGTTCCGTAACTTCAAGCTCAAGTGTGAACGTAGGCTGAAATTTTGTGGCATTGTGACATTTGGCACGACGTTCAAGCTTCTTAATTTTCAGATTGAACGGAGTTCCACAGTCAGAGTGCGTCCAATTTTGGGTTTTGAGCTTTGAGTTTCAAGATTTTTGGGCAAGAGATTCTTTCAGAACTTGTTTTTTCTACGTTGGGAGTCATATGGACTTAGAACTTTGTGGCACATTGCAGCTAGGAAGGGCGCACTAGCTTGCAAAATCTCAGACCGAACGCCATTTAAAGTGAGAAGTTGACGTGTTTAGTAGGTCTAATCTTTTTGAAAGGAGAGGGCTGAATCTTGCAGAAGCCGTAACTTCGGGATTAAGTTTAAAAAGATACTGAAATTTTGTGGCATTGTGACATTCGGCAAGGCGCTGAAGCCTGTAAATTTTCAGATCAAATAGAGTCGAAGAGCGTCCAATTTAGAGTTTTGAGCTTTGAGTGTCAAAATTTGAGGGCAAGAGATTCTTTCGGAAGCTGTTTCTTTGACGTTGGAAGTGATTTGGAGCTGAAACTTTGTGGCACACTGAACCTGGGCAGGGCGCACAAGCCTGCAAAATCTTAGGCCGAACGCCATTCGGAGCAAGAAGTTTACGTGTCTAAGAGGTATTAGCTTTTTGAGAGGGGAGGGCCAAATCTTGCAGGGGCCATAACTTCGGGCTGGAGTTTGCTTTGGACCTGAAACTTTGTTGACGCTTGGAGCTGGCCAGGGAGCGCAAGCTTGCAAAGTTTGAGACTGAACGCAATTTGGAGGTTAAAGTTGAAACATATCTCAGTCTCGAGTTTTTGAGAGTCATTCACATGATCGCGTCTGAAGACAATTTGGAACTCAATCTTTTGCAAACTATTTTGGAAGAGTTGAAAGTATTGAGCTGCAATTAAAGTTCCACTTTAATTGCAGCTCAATATGAAATTCGAGAGTTGAATTTCTACTAGAAAAGTTTTGAAAAGATTATGGTTGATATTTCAGAACACATAAAGGATATTCAGAAGAAAGTTGGTTCTCAAGCTTCCACTGTTGCTACTCCTAGATTGCATGAAGTGGTTGAAAGTCTGCTGTCTAGAGTTGAAAATGAAATCTTATGCAGAAGCCATCAAGTCTGCTCATATCTCTTTTTGTCAAGAGCAAAAGATTGAAAAGACTAATCAATTTGCTCGGAGAAAGAATGTGAGAAATTCTAGTCTATCTGAATCTGAGAAGAAAGAGGTGAAGAGTGTTGTCACCAAGTTTTTGGCTGAAACACTTGATGTTCCTAATCCGGATGTGGCTCAAGCTTTTCGCATTAAAACCATAGGAACCCAACCTCGAGCTATCATAGTTAAGTTTTATGACCAAACTCAACGTGATACAGCTTAGCAAACAAAGTTGTTCTTAAAGGACGTAGGATTTGGTTAGATTCTGATCTCACACCTCTACAAGTATAGGCAAGGAGAAAGAAACTTGCAAGAGTCAAAGAAGCTCAAGATGCTAGATTTTTTGCTTATCTCCGTGATGGACAAGCAATTGTCACTCAACGGAAAAGACAATCATCCATATAGCAATCTAAGAGCTTGAGGGTGTAAATGTGGAATATTAGAGGTATTTCTACGACAAAGTATGTGAGTGCTAATCCAATTTGAAAGATGGCGGACATCATCAACATTGTGAAGACGTGGGATCATGAGAGCAACACTATTGGAGAGATACCGTGGTTTACTTTGGTGAGATCCACTCTGAATCATAGAAGTCAACGTGCAGGAAGAGGCTATGGCGGTAGTGCTACTTTCATCAGATCTCAATTTCTACCTCTGATACATCTAGAAGGTCAAGATATTGGAGGTCAATATCATTAGCTTCGTCTTGGATTGGTTGTAGGATCTTATAGTTATTTGGTAGTTTGTTACTTTGCACCATTGTCCATGACTATCTACTCCACACTCAATCGGAGTCAACCATTCCATCGACTTATAGGAGATGTTCTCAATTACCATAGCAAAGGTGAAGTTTTTCTGGTTAAAGATTTCAATGCTCGAATAGGTTGTGCACAATTTACCCAAGTTGGTGATCTCTTGACTTCTCCCTCCTTTGAAGAACTTGAAGATAGTATGTGGTCTAAAAACTTTTCTGATACTTTTATAAATCTTTTGACATAACACTTTCTAACCTTTGAAAGTAATTTGAAAGTTCTCAACGGTATCTCTCTTTTTCCCAACGCCTTTTCCAATACGTGTTTTTCTCCTACACGTGTTAGCACTATTGATTATCTTCTATCCTTCGGCCACTAATAGCTCTCTTATTTCAATATTTGATACTCTAGAACTTCAGTTAGAATCAGATCATGCAACTCTCTTATTTATTCTCTTGTTATCAAAAACAATCCCTCTCTCCCCATGCCATTCTGTTTTAGCTTCTTCCAAGTTTCGTTTACATCCTAGTAAGAAATAGCATTACATGCTATATTTTATAAACCTTTTGACCCACATTTCATGGAGCCTTGATCCACATACAACGAGTGAGCAACTAATAGAATTGCTCAAAGACACTACTTCTAAGTTCTTTTTGCGGCACAAGGATCGAAGAGCTAAAAGGCTTCCTCGCAATTGATGGTTTGACTTTGATTGTAAGCAAGCGAGGATGAGATCAGTTGACAAGTCTTTGGATCTTCAAAGTCGGCTTATCTTGACAAGGCTTTACAAAGACTTGGTGAAGTCTAAGAAACAAGCTTTTTTGAGTACGAAGCAAGAATCCTTAACAAAGGAGTTGATGGAGAATCCCAAATCCTTTTCGATACGGTTAGTTGTTTGGTCTTCTAAACCAACTCTTGATCCCAAGAGTTTGATTGACTTTGCTGAAAAGCTTTATTTCTTTCCCGACGCTGCATTAATGCCTTGTTGTGAAGGAACATCAGGCTTATTTTCTGAATCAGAGGTGAGGATTCAAGTTAGAAAATTAGCAAATGGTAAATCGGAGTATTTGGATGGTCTCTCTATTGAACTTTTGAAGTTGGGAGAAGATGTTATTGAACCGATACTCACCAAAGCGTTAGAGAATGCTACTATATATGGTTTTCTTTCAACTTGGTCTTTACGGAACATTGTGCCTATTCACAAGTCAGGAAGGAAGGACTTGATGACAAACTATCGCACTATCATGGTGAGTAGTGTTTTTGCCAAGGCAAATTGGTGGAGTCAAAGTTGAGCACATGGACTGAATCTCATCGAGTGCAGTTTTAAGCAGGTTTTTGCCCCACATACAACACCATTGACCATATCTTGGCTTTGCGTTTGTTATGGAAGAAGTCGAAGGGCAACGGAAAAGCTTTGTTTTGCGCCTTCATTGATTTTAAGAAAGCTTTTGACACCATACCTCGTGAGTTATTATGGAAAAGGCTGCAAGTCATTGAAGTACCATCAGATCTTCTAGCAGCTGTGGCCACGTTATACCATTCTGTTCGAGCTAAGATCAACACTTATTTTCTGATATTACAATTGTATTAGCAGGAAGCAACTAAACACTCCCCTTGATCATCACTATGAGAGGAAGGGTGCTTCAAAATTATTAATATGATATTTGACATACCAAACCTTGAATATCCATAATTCTCACATCCCTTTATTGTATCTCATTCTCAGTGCTTTTGGCATTAAAAGATCACCTGAAAATATTTTAAGTCATTACAACAAGTAAATTTCTTCTTTTTTAAAGCAATAAACTCCAACTGATTTCTCTTTAAAGTTTTGCAGTTTTCAGATAACAATACGCTTATAATATATGAGCAGACACTTGCCCAAACCTGTCTTACCTTGCAAATGTAATAGGAATTGGGCTTCGGTATAAATGAGTAGTAGTGTATAAATGAGTAGTGAGTAGTGTTCTCTCCAGTAAATGAAAGTTCTAAACGAGCTAAATCATCATTACGACGCTATATTGTACGCATACCCGAACTTTTCTAAACACTCCAAGCAAAGAATAAATAATTAAAAGACATAATCGACCTGAACTCAAAGCTACGTGATTGCTCGATGATGTCAATTGCAATCTCGATGATGTTCGGGCATTGTTGTGATGCTTCTCGAACTTTTGCTTCGTCGCCCAGCCTCGTCACCAAGGGCTTCTCACTTTCGGGGGGAACGCGAGCTCTGCCCGCCCGGCCCGATGCCAGGCGGTCCCAGGCCCGCAGCCCGACCTCCCGCTTCGACCAGGGAGGGCCGCCCCGCTCCCTGCGTGTGATCATGTGATATTTTAAATGTTGGGATAATATGCAGACTGATGGACTTAGATAGGTCTAGTATCTTAGATGAAAGAGTACAAATTTGGCATGTGATCCTAATGGTGGTATGAGGCTAGCCAAATCATACCACATTTGGTTCTTCAGTTCGAAGATGACGTTCATCTTGTTCTAAACTTCTAAGTTCCCTGCGGGGAAGGGAGGCCGCGAGGGAAAAGCCCGATGTTCGAGCGGGAGCGGGGCGAGCTAAAGCGGGAGGGCCCTCCCTGGCAACGGAAAAGCTTTGTTTTGCGCCTTCATTGATTTTAAGAAAGCTTTTGACACCATACCTCGTGAGTTATTATGGAAAAGGCTGCAAGTCATTGAAGTACCATCAGATCTTCTAGCAGCTGTGGCCACGTTATACCATTCTGTTCGAGCTAAGATCAACACTTATTTTCTGATATTACAATTGTATTAGCAGGAAGCAACTAAACACTCCCCTTGATCATCACTATGAGAGGAAGGGTGCTTCAAAATTATTAATATGATATTTGACATACCAAACCTTGAATATCCATAATTCTCACATCCCTTTATTGTATCTCATTCTCAGTGCTTTTGGCATTAAAAGATCACCTGAAAATATTTTAAGTCATTACAACAAGTAAATTTCTTCTTTTTTAAAGCAATAAACTCCAACTGATTTCTCTTTAAAGTTTTGCAGTTTTCAGATAACAATACGCTTATAATATATGAGCAGACACTTGCCCAAACCTGTCTTACCTTGCAAATGTAATAGGAATTGGGCTTCGGTATAAATGAGTAGTAGTGTATAAATGAGTAGTGAGTAGTGTTCTCTCCAGTAAATGAAAGTTCTAAACGAGCTAAATCATCATTACGACGCTATATTGTACGCATACCCGAACTTTTCTAAACACTCCAAGCAAAGAATAAATAATTAAAAGACATAATCGACCTGAACTCAAAGCTACGTGATTGCTCGATGATGTCAATTGCAATCTCGATGATGTTCGGGCATTGTTGTGATGCTTCTCGAACTTTTGCTTCGTCGCCCAGCCTCGTCACCAAGGGCTTCTCACTTTCGGGGGGAACGCGAGCTCTGCCCGCCCGGCCCGATGCCAGGCGGTCCCAGGCCCGCAGCCCGACCTCCCGCTTCGACCAGGGAGGGCCCTCCCGCTTTAGCTCGCCCCGCTCCCGCTCGAACATCGGGCTTTTCCCTCGCGGCCTCCCTTCCCCGCAGGGAACTTAGAAGTTTAGAACAAGATGAACGTCATCTTCGAACTGAAGAACCAAATGTGGTATGATTTGGCTAGCCTCATACCACCATTAGGATCACATGCCAAATTTGTACTCTTTCATCTAAGATACTAGACCTATCTAAGTCCATCAGTCTGCATATTATCCCAACATTTAAAATATCACATGATCACACGCAGGGAGCGGGGCGGCCCTCCCTGGTCGAAGCGGGAGGTCGGGCTGCGGGGGCAGGGGGTCGGGCTGCGGGGCAGGGACCGCCTGCCATCGGGCCCGGGCGGGCAGAGCTCGCGTTCCCCCTAAAGTGAGGAGCCCTTAGTGACGAGGGTCGCCCAGTCGAAGTCTACGACCCGTGCTCTGAGTATTTCATTTTCGAGAGGCCTTGCACTATTGCACGGAGAGCTCTGACGTGAGTCTTGAAACGAGTAAGCTGGATCGCGGTTCTTACATCTCTCGCCTCTCGAAACGATGGCCGTTCGATGGTGGGAATAAGAAGTGACAAACCGTGGATCGACTTGATTTGCTAAGGTGGTATCGGCTGTACCCGCCACTCTCAGACCTGGTACCAGCCGCCTTGGACGTCATCGATTGCGCTACTAGTGAGATTCCGCATCTTTTCCTTAAGTCGAGAAACCAAGATACTACCAAAAGACGACTGTTCAATTGTATATTAACACATTTGTAAACAAGACCCCCTACATTGGAAACATTATCCCCGTGAAAGTATGCATACAATCACTGAGATTAGATGAAGAACATCCCGCAAAGACCCATATATCCAATGACTCAAATTCCCAGTTCAAATAAACCACACACGGTCGTCAATAAGTCCATAATTCACATATGCAACTGAGGAAGAATCGACAAATCTGATGAAGAGTTGATTTCATGCTGATTCACAAAACCCTGTTTACAATCACTCGCCCAAGTAAGGTTTTGGCTGAGATTCCCTTGCCTGTTTGCGAGCCCGCAGTAGTCTTTAGTACTGAAGAGTCCTTAATTACGAAGGCAAATGCTTGACATAGTTCACTTTCATGCTCCAGGTGACTAAAGTGGACATGGATCTCGATGTCAGGGAAAAAGGTCAGCAACTCGCCTCAGCATTCTTTCTGACTGGGACCAGAGAACAGACACACAAAAAACATGATGCAACAGCAGGACCCTGTCTTGTGAGATACTTTCGGGTGGGTATCGTGTCCAACTTTCCTTTCACTGCAAATAGAATGGCATTACCCCACGGATAGTGCCATCTATCATTTCTAAATAATTCTACAACTTGCCTCTCACTCTGCAGTCCCAGTAAAGGCGGTGCATGGACGGCCAGCCCATGCAATAACATTAAATTGGGCATGTACAAAGAATGGGAAGAAGACGTCTACGATTTCTACCTTTATTTTTCCCAACTGCCTACAAAACTTGAAGCTGAACCTAACTGCTGAGATGATCGTGTTGATAATCAGGATTAGGCTTGAGAATGACAAATCCCTCGAGTACAGATGACAAGGGTAAGTACCTGCACGGACAAGAAAACTAATTAAGAACTCTGTTTCTTTTTCCCCTATCAGATTACAAATGTACAGTCAAACCGCTAGGCATTATATTAGAATTTGCAAGTCAGTTAAACAAGACAACAGACCATCATACAAGAAGGCAAAGAAAATAAAACAATCCTGTTCAAAACTCACTTCTCAGTCGCGAGTTCAGCTCTATCTCCAGTCGCCAGAAGAACAGGAGTCGTATGGGTCTGGAAACCGGTGATGGTCTTCGGACGACCGGCCTGTCCCACTACATCCACCGCTTGACCCACCCTCACAGGTACTGATAGAGGTTTCAAATTTGTATCTAGTGTAATGAGCATCCGTGGCTGCAAACAGACCAAGTACAAGTCAAAAAACGTAAGGGAGAATAAAGAGCAGTGCTGCAAAAAAAAAACCCGGTCACAGACAAGATCAAATGCACAAAAGGACACCGGCGGCCATTCGGCAACAATATCGAAGTACCAATACCAAGGCGACCTCCAATTCCTACAAGGCTAGTAAAGATGTGGAACTCAAGTCTCGTACGACATATGTATGTATATATGTAGAAAATTAACATACCTGCATTGCCAACACTAGGTAGTACAACACGTAATGGTACTTTCCGAGGATCACTGACTTCATGTCCAGGCATCCGTGCAAGAAAGTCATCAAGCCCGCAAGGGCGACACTGCACAATATCAACAAATTTATTCAGCTGAATGATCACTAGGCGATTCAAAAATCGAGACTTCTATTTAAAAATAAACTTGCAGGCATATGTCTGAAGATATAAGCTAGTAATTTAAGATAAGCGTACAAAGCAAGAGTCCGCACTGTTTTACCACATGTACTAAGGCCATGAACAACGGGAACGTACTTGGACAGCAAGAATCTGTCAGAATGATATGGATTCAAAGTCAGCAATCCTTTCCCCATGTGCACCAAACCTTGCGCAATTCGAACCTGCAGCAAACATCCCCATTTTTTCTTAGAAGCTAACTAGATTCGATATTCCGATACAAATCAATATCTTCATCATGAACGTCAAAATCAAAGAGTAGACTACATAGCCTCTTTTCCAATGAGACTCTGTAATGCACAGTGAAGCCGCTAGACCGGCAGTCCTGTAAGTAACTATTCAATAATAACCTACCGCTCGACCATTCACCATTCATTATGAGATCTTTCTGGTCAAACCATATCATATTGTCTTAGAACTGAAACGACCCGTATGAGTTGGTTCATTCTTTACAACGCCTACATCAAAAGCCAATGGCAAAGTGACGTTTTCCGACAAGTAGCGCTGTTGACGAGGCAGATAAATGTGAATGTTCTTACACAAAATAGCAGGCTGGGGTCTTTGTAGTAATAGCTAGAAAGATTTCTAAGCATGCCAGCAATACGAGCATTGTTGGTTCCGGCACCAATGAGACCAAGAGACATAGTAGCGGCCTGCAAAACAATATAGCGCAGATAAGTATCCAATTGAAAGATATGGACGTCAGAAAGCTAAAACGCAGTTTGGCTTCCGTCTCGATTTTGAGAAATGCATAAGTCTGTACAGACTCAGAGATATTCATAACACAATGGTCTTCACCGAAAACGGGAATGCTACAACATACTGCAACCATCTGAACAATACGGAAGTGGTCAACGTCGCTCTTTACCATGGCAACTTCTGAGTCGCTGTCATGACTTAGTCGGCTAAGAGTATCCATCACAGCAATCTGAAACACTCAAGGAAACGGTAGGAGATCACGCTGTTAGAAGGATACTATAGAAGCAAACTTGCAAACCAAGATAACAAATGAAAGCAAAAACTTACTTATAAATGTGGCATTATTTTCAGAGAGAAAGTATATCATGTTTTCCTGATCTTCATCACGAAGCAGTAAGGACTTTTTAATCGAAAAAAACTTACTTTAGGATTCGATATAGATAAGATTCCTAGGGCCAAGGGAACAGCACGTCTTATATTCTGTTCTCCATACTGCAGAAGGTGCTCCAAGGAGCGAATGGCCATTTCCAGCCCAAGTTCTTCGGCCATGGCCACTAACGCGATACCAAGGACAGCAGGAGCTTGGTGACTCTCACCCTTGTCAAGGTGATCTGCACATAACCCGAGAAGGCGTTGGACCTGTAGACAACCCCACAAAAATTACTTCGTAATCAGTTATCTACTCGCATGAACACCTGTACAGTCATAACATTTCAGTCCAGATCAATTATACTTGACGTGTAGTACATGGCCCACACAATACACGATTATACTCTTGTAAAGAAGTGAGGTCACAAGACGCTCATTCTCAAGTTTAGCGACCGCATTGCTTAGTCTAGTATGTGTAATCAGCCCCCTTTCCCGCTGAGGGTTCCATATGCAACATTCATGGCGTCCTAGTTGGAGAAACCGAAACTGGAGGCACTTTTGTAGATAGTTGGCACTTAATTAGCATAGAGTATAAATGATTCTGCTGTAGTTCACGATACGCACCACTCTAGAGGAGCCCGCAGAGACTACTGGTACCAACCTTCGGATGCACAGATTGCTGAAAACTACACTTCCTTAGCCCATTTCTGGCTAAATTTTGTATATAGATAGAAGCTGACTTGCAGCCAGAGACATCTCCACCGGGCACATCGCCAAGATGATGCCGTAATCGTTTCAAACCACCCACAAATGTCTTGTGGCAAAATTTGCACTTCAGTAACCTTCCAGTGACAAATCTTCCTGAAGCGACCGGTTCACTTACTTCTACATATTTCCATTCCTCTGCTTTACTAGCTGCCCTTCGTTGAACCTGCAGAGGTTCAGTAGGCGGTTCGATCTGGAAGTTTTGAAGAGGGAAGAGAGGAAGAGAAGACAAGGGTATTCTTTAAATTTGTATATGAGTCAGCTCTTAACTGGTTATAGTCTGTTGATTTAAGTTCATGGATTCTGAACTTGATTAAGGCATTGGGCTACGGAATCTGTACTACCTATTCATTTAACTTTTGTGTGCTCTACTATGGTGAGCTTCCCACAGAATCTGCATCATCATAAGCTGGATACCATACGTCCTATATCATTGATCGACACGTGTCTTACAATCAGATCACACCTCAATATCTTCCTTCAATAGTTTATTCTTCGTTACAGGTTAAATATATCCAAGGACTCACCTTGAGTACGTTGCCCGTTCCAGCATAAGCACACGAGTCCAGCGTAACTTGACAGTACTGCGATATCTTCGGATTCAGGGTCTTCGCCACCTCCATGGTCGCATCTACATCATCCTGTTTCATAAGACGTGATATTGGAAATTAGGAGTGTCGCGGGCCAACACAACAACTAACCAATACAGTGGACAAATTAGACCCATAAGATCCTTGACGACGTAATGAGGCGTACCTCGTACAAAACTTTGAGGCTATCAAGGAAACCTTCACGTCGCGACTGGACAAAAGTAGGACTCGTGCTCAAGCTTTAATCTACCAAAAGAACTAGATTTGAAAGTGTACACCGAAAAGCAGTGGGCGTAAGGCCTTCATACAATATTTGGATTTAATCGTATTTACCTGCTTTCCCAGGTACAAGAGTCCAAGACCATGACACAGGAAACGCCCCATGGGCTCCCCGAGTTCGCTTTCACTCCTCTCCATCAAAGCATGCAATATTGACTGCGCAACTTCTTGATTGCAAGAACCCACGTAGATGAGTCCCAGTGACATCGCAGCAAACCCAGCGACGTCAATCCCGACCTTGGAGTCCGTGACGATAGGTGTCAAGAGCTCCAGCACCTGTAGGACAACGTCCATATGTGTGATTAAAGAGATTTCATGATTATAATAAATGCAAGGTTATTGACCATAAAAGCTTCGATTTGCGAATGCCTCACGATTCTAAGCAAAGACGTCAAGTAATAATCAACATAACCATGGCAAATAAAGATAAGAACTTAAAGACACATCGCCCCAGCGAACAGCTATTTACATGTCCATGACATAATAGTTAAGACATCCTAGTAAACTCCCTTTTTTCAAATGTAAACGCAGAAGCGAACATCCTAAAGAAGAGATGGAGTGACTGAAGTTTCAGTTATACCTCTTCTTTTTGGGAACCAGCATAAGCCAGACCGAGTCCCATGATCGCACCGATGCGTGTGGTTGAATCTTCCTTGTTTACAGACTCATAAAGCAGAGCATATGCCTGCCAACCACCGTAGGATTTAATCAGAATGATAACAAGGCTAAGAATGACATTCTGACGTAAGCATAGCACATGCGCAGATCCACAAAGAATAAAATGCTGATCGAAGTACCCATGAAATCTATTCAACTGTTTACCTGGCAAAGCCTGAAATGTAAATGACCTTCTCTTCAAACCTAAAACGAATGCATGAAAAAAATCTTTACCGGGTCACACTCGTTCCGCACACCACAGTTGACAATTCCAACAGCCAACAGTGCACCAGCGATGATATGATTATCTTGAGTGTAGAAGTACTTATCAATTTGGGGTAATCCATCATCGACATCCCACAAAAGAATGAGACCCTGCAACATCCAACAAACCGACACAGAAGAATTAGAGCTCACCTTCTAATTCAGACTAATACCCGTGTCAACTGAAGTCATAAAAGCCCAGGACATCAAAAGATAGCAATGCAAATGCTCGTAATCAATCACATCGTGAACTCCAAGCATGTAAGCATTTACATACCAAACTTGCTGCGGCACTGGCTTTACCGTGCTCCTTGTTCTTAAAAAGCCAGCTGTTTGCGCTGCTTCCACTTGATGAATCAACATTTGGAGCAGTCATCAATTTATCCTGGAAAACAACATAACAAGAAGCAGTCCATTAAAACTCCACGGAGGTTTGATTACGACGACGAGCTCAAAAAACCAGGCTCAAATGGTGTGTCACGTTAACGCTGAAGGAAAAAACGACAACAACCATCGACATGAAAAGCTTCCTCGTACCAAGAGGGTAAGCCTTTGGCTTATCACCCTCAGTAACAACCCCGGTCGGACACAGTAGACGCCCCTGTCTCCTAAGGTGAGCGCTGCCGGAGCACCATATGTTTAAATGTCGATGGTTGAAAATCAGTTGTAGATTTTGATAGCTGCCTACACACAACGTTTAGTTTAAGATATTACCTGGCCAAAACCAGCATTGACGAACGCATTCACAAAAGTAGCGGCCAAATTTTGGCGCGCAGAATCCACACTCGCACCAGCACCAGCCCTTCCATCAACAAGGTGAGCCTGCAGCAGGGAAAGTAACTCGAAGTTAAAACATGAACGTCTACTGAGTACCCAAGGCTGAAAGCCAAAAACAACTCATGAAGGGGCGTTTGCTTTTGTAGGCACAAGTGAAAGCGGAAGGAAGAAGGGCCTTCTTGCCAAATAGACACCCAAACGATGTCCTAAAACTACACATACCTTATATATGTCTTCTGGGGTCTTCGGTTCCATCACATCGAGATCACGAGCCAGCGTAAGGTAACCCTCACTAAGTTTGCTGTTGCTGATTATCTCTTGCAATTTCTCCTTTTGATCTTCTGAGGCCAAAGAACCATCGTCCAGATCAAGTGATACACCCTGCAGTCACAAAGGAAGTAAGGGATAAGACAAAGGCATGTAATTTTCTGAAGCTTCAGTTACAGATGCCACATAAGAGTTCTATATATTTCAAAGAAAGAAATATGTAGCTGAAAGAGAAGAACACGCTCTTTACGTCAGATATAATTAACAACTGAGACATACCTGACGAGCCAATATGTAGCATAGCTGTTGTTTCTCTAGGAAGTCGTTGCAGTCCTTAAAAGTGGCCTTTATATACTGAACAGATCACACACGCTTCTGTAAGCAAATAGCAGGCCTCTACATTCATCCCTTGAGAGAAAGAGAGTCAGATAAGACCAGGAATAACTCATGAGACATCTGGATGCATAGTTTTTCCATGCATGTGCAATCTACAAGAGAGATTTAATTTGAACCTGAGAGTTGTCCATACGCAGTGCCACCCGCATCGCGTCGGGGTACTTCTCAAACTTGCGGTAGATTTGATAAGCAACATCCAACACTAGCATGTCATCTGGCTCCGGCATGTAGCTGCAGCATTAGCGCACAGTTTGACGTTAGAGAGTTGAATGATTAACAGTTTGGAACCTGAATCGTTAGCACTTTCAGACTCCGCTCAAGAAACTGCATAAGTGTTCGACTCTTATATAGCGACTTGAAACCAAATAGTTCAAAACGAAAGAGACAAGTAGGCTAAAAACATCTTGAGACTCAGTCCTTCTTTTTTAAGAACCACATTAGCTAATAAATTGCGTCGGAATCAAAACTTCGAAAAAGTCAGCAGATGCTGTAAAATCACGAACCTGGAGAAGCTTGTCAAGTATGAGCATGTCCGCTTGTAATTACCCTTATCGATATGCCCAATTAACAATTCAAGGCTTTCAACCTGAAGATCAAACAAACTCTTTAGAGACAGCCACGTGGACATTCAAGAATATAAGAAGCTCGATATCCAAAAATTGAAACAAATTTTTCAAATAGAAAACGTAGGTTTGGGCAACGAAAGAAAAGGAAACACTCACCTCCATAAGCAGATCGACTGCTTCGGGTTCGGCATTGTGCTACGGTCATGAAGTAAAAGTTAGCGTTAACTTTGACATTTGAGAAAAGTAAGGTGTCCGTAAGAACTTCAGAAAAAATTCTCAGTGAGAAATAAAAGCTGACATAGATGACTACTGAAATGCCTGGGACAAAATGAACGGTGTTACAAGTAGCCAGAGTAGCAATAAGACTGTCGACTAACCTTGACATGGAAAGGCACAATCTGTTTGACGAGGTCCATGAGGTCCTCAACTGATTTCTCGTTCTGCCAGTTCAGTTCAGGTGTTAATTAACATCAGGCATATGATCGGCATAGTAATTTCGTGGCAAATAATCTCGCCGAAATACTAGTGATACAACTATGGAAAGCTGTACTTAAACTCGATGATACAAGAAACACAAAGGGATTCTCAGAGTTGAATGGCCATTACCACCTGCCGCTGTTGAAACTCCAGACCAATCTCCCCGGCAAGATTCCTGTTGAGCAGACAGAAAACAACTGTCAGTTGTATTACCATATACCCAAAATTGTAACACACGCACCTTTAACTCTCCCGACATCCTTAGTTAGTGTCATAATTCACTTCCTTTGCAACTGAGAACGTACTTCACATAGGGCTTGTGAAAAAAGAAAAACTTTGTTTAAAATCTTCCGGCCTTAAGAGGTGTATCACCATCTAACATTAAAGGTCAAACAGACAGGTTTTTACCGGACGTATTCGTGACCCCAAGAGCCAATATCACCAACTGAACCCAATAATCGGTACTGCAGACTTTCCTGTTCAACCACAGATCGGTAATGAGATATCGACGTGTGCAAAACGTCCAACACAATGATAAACATTACGTGAAGCATTGATTTTCGTCAAAATTACGGCACAACGAACTTACCCTCTCATTTTCCTCCGACATTGTCAGCGCCAACACTGAAATGATATCAGCGAGGAACATCTGCCAGACAAAGACGAGACCTTGTCAAAATCTTTCGCATTTCATTGAAGTAAGAGATGCCTTCAGTATAATTTTGTAAAACACGTCAAAACGCCAGAAATCATGCAAACCTTCAGCTCTGGAGTCTCCATAGTCTCGTAATAACCCTTGAGAGTCTTATAGTGTGGTCTTAAAAACTTCAAAGGTTTCGGTACGGAGGTCATCGAGCTTGTGGCGGTACGAATTTCTTGTCTGGAATTTGACGCACCACCACAATATTAGAATAGTACATTCGTGCTCGAATCATGAATATGACCACAAAAGTAATTTGACGACATTTAGAGAGGCGTTCATGATAAACTTCTACTACAAACGCAGCCAATCAATCTATTTAATCAAGTCAGTGTCTACATTGACCATAAACCTGTAGCAACGAATTATCGTTTAGGCAGATATTGGACGTAGATCATGGCCGTGACGTACCTCATGCTTTCCAAGGCCATCTTCTGAATTCCTGGGTTAGAGTCATTCACTCTTTCCACATAAAGTTCCAGTTGCTCCTTCAAAGCTGCGTCTTCCTCGGACTGCATCAATACATGGAAAACCGACAAACCTTAATATGTACTGCTCGACTGCAACCGGATTCGGAAGAACATCAGCTAATAAACCGGAACCTTTTGCTTGCACGACGCTGACCCAGGAGTACCCTACAAGTTTTACGTGAGGATAATGGAATCGTCCTCTTGCATCCTGCCGAAGTTAATTTTTCCAATCTCAAAAGGCAAACTCCTGGCAGACACGGCGTGACTAAGCACCGTTCCTCTGTCCCTTCCTGTAACTTCCATTTGAGACCATTCTTGAGCTCCCTATCACAATTTTCCCCGTTTATGAGCCGGACAGATCAGGAAATTGTTTGCAATTATGATATATAAACCCTAAACCCTTAAGGCCGACATTCACCATAAACTACACTCAGACCCAGTACTGGCTTTAAGTAATCATATAGTGACAACTTTCTGCGCATTCAATGAATGAACTGAGACTCGCAAAGGCTAATTTCTTAGACGAGCGACATCTCACCGGGTTGTGATCAAAACCAACAGCCGTAATGATCACTTGACAAACTAATCAACAACACTTGAATTATCCCCTTATTTATTATCTGCGATGACGTGCCTTACACACACATGGTAAGGATAGCATAATTGAGCCACTGTTCCCAGAGACCAGCTCCACTCAATGCTGTACGTGTTCTTTAGTGTGACCAATCCGTATTCTGTACAGCAACAGAAGGTTGTAGCTATTCAAGTATTGCCTGGGCACATTGCTTTTAAACGCCCAATTCTATGTTTGTAACAGGAGTGACTAGAAAGCTTAGGTAGATACAATTAAAGTCCCGGGGTGAGCTTGAAATAAATAAACCCTATGACCTGAACCGCTTCGAGGAGTCGATCATTCAGTGAATTCTCCATAATAAAGAGCAGACAATAAGAGAATGGGGCGTACTACAGTTGTCAGCGAGCAAGACACAAGGCAACCCTAACGAAGCACGAGACGATAAACGAGAGGAAAAGAAGTAATCAATTTTCCAGTGATTCAACACACGGTTTGAACGCGCAAAATACATCCTTCAAGCCCAAAACTAAGCCCATGTCAAATGGAAAAAATAGCCGTTTCTGTGGGCAAATGAAGGCCAGACGTTCCTCAGATAGGCAGGCGAGAAAACGATCGAGCAGACACGAGAAGATATGAAACTCCACAATAAGCTAAAAGATAACAATAGGCCAGTTCTCGGGTCCCGGAAACGGCACTGACGGACGGAGGGAAAGGCACTGGACTCGCGCTGTCTACCCGTCTTCTGCCCTCATTGTCATCCTACTTTCCGACGCCTTCTTCCAGGGAAACTCAGACAATCGATCATTTCTCGCCCAGACTTTTATTAACAATTGATGTTTCCAGTTCGCAAGAGAATGACATAACCCAGTAATTTGATCACAACTAGTACATGCTAGAGAAACCTAAACATAGTATGGATAAATCCAATTGTCCACAGGGTCTGAGAGCCAGCATACCAGATCCTCGTCCTTCTTCTCGTCTTTCTTTTTCTTCGCATCCTTCGCGTCCTTTGCAGGCACTTTGGTGGAAGCAGGTTGTTCGTCGTGGTCCATCCGATCCACACTACTGCCATTCTCTTTCGGGTCGGGAGCCATGTTTGCTTAAGAATCTACCCTCTCCCCTTTCGTCTCCTCCGCCTCTCTGACCAGCAGTCCACCTCCGATGCCCTTCAGAGAGTCCCTTTCCCTCTCTACCTGTTCAGGTTGTCCCCCACATGCCCTGATCACCTGGCGAATTTGAAAAGCGAACTGCGACAGGCACGAAATTCCGGCCCACGAGGATTTTGAATAAAAAGTCACCAAGAAGAATCGAACAAGCCCATCGGAGAAATTCTCTCGAGCGCTTCCGTCACGCGAGGCCGAACCGAGCAGGAGGAAATGCCTTCAGCTCTCTCTCTCTCTCTCTGTGGCGGTCCGGTGATGGAGTCTTGGCTTCCTCGCCTGCGGAGAAAAGCCGCTCGTTCGTTGGGGAATGATGGGAGGCCAAAGGAGGGCACACTGCACGACACGCCAGGGACCGCAACGCAACGCAACGCGACGCGAGCTGCGCTCTGCGTCCTCTTTCCTCTCTCCGCACGTCACAGCCTAACTCGGAACCTAACTCAGCTCCCAGTGACACTTGACTGCACAGTCGGTCCGCGCTTTTTCTTACAAGTCTGCGTATCACCACGTCGAACGATGACACTGCGTTCACTTTTGTTGCAATTTCCTTCAGCACTCCGTACAAATATGTCGAATGTATTTTAAATATGTATATACATTGGTATTCTTGAAGAATTGCTATTGGAAAGGTGGACAGCAGCTACCCATGATTTCAGTAGAGGATATGTGGTGTTAACAATACTTCTTGCAATCAACTCACGCAAACAAACTATAGTTAAGTTTGATAGATTGAATTTTGATTCCACGCGTGTTACAGATCTTGAATGTGACACAATTGCTGAATGTTACTTATCAACTTTTCAGACGTGCGATGAATGAATTATTCACAACAAATATATAAATTATAATGAAATATCATCTCCCTACTTTGACCCTCGAGTTAGATAGAGGTTTGAATGAAGACTTTTGAAGGTCCCTGAAAGAGAAAACAAGAGCCTTATATACATAGATCAATGGAAAAGTATTAGACAACATATTGTCTTGATCTACAAAAATGACTAGCTTCTAATGTACATAACCAAAGTATCTAGAAAATGCATCAAAACTTAACATATCATACAACAGGGATTTTCATTATTTTTATCTCATTGTGTAGGCTATTTATCCGAGCTTAACATATAAACAAGGTTTAGTAAAAGTAAAGTAAAGCTTACAAAAGTAAACTCAAATCTCATTGATTTTGTGAAGTGTTTAAGGTAAATTTTATTTCTATATTGGCTATGAATTCTAAGTATATTAGTATTTTAAAATTAATAATTATTTCATGCACAAAAAAATGAAATTAGTGCATGACAAATTTAAAAAACGGTTATGAAAATTATAAATTCTTATGCAACATCTAATTTACTATGAAATGTAACTTTCAGTTATTTTATTTGAATGAAGATATGAAGACAATGGATATGACTTAAAACATATCATCAAATCGTACAAGAAAATAAATATAAATTTTAATGCTAAAACAAGATCATGAATGTGTGATTAGATAAATTATATCAATCATATACGTTATTTGTACTAATAAAGATTAAATCATGAACGAAAAAGGTTATAACAATTGAATATATTAACAAAGTTATATTTAGGTATATTATTGAGAAAAACTTTTTGTTGAACAAGGAATAATTACTTTGTGATATAGACTACATAAAAATCTAGAAAAAAAACTATCGCACATTTTTTAATTTCTTGTGATTGATTGTGTTATTTAAAAAATAATCTATTAAAAATATTTATATCCAATAATTGCACATTATACTTGTCTATATTTAGTTATATATATTTATTTAAATTTATTACTAATATTTTTATCTCCAAATTTGAAAATTATATCTTCAATTAATTTGTGACAAGCTCAATCAAAATCATCATGTTTGCAAACAAATTTTATATTTATTGGCTTTGATTTCAAATGAATATATTATATATATATATTCATTAAATAGATAAGATGTTAAAAATAGATAAGATGTTAGTTAATCCAAAATCGTTCATGATATGGTATTTTTAAGTTTATAGATAATACTTCTGTTGAAAGTTTTTTCATTTGATCAGTTTTTGAACACATAGAAATGTTTTGAAACTAAGATATATTTGATTACGAATTGCACCATTCATAATTTGATTTCATGGAGTTTTCAAGCTTAAATAAAATCATAAAGTGCAAAATATTATTATATTCGGAGGCAAATTTTTATTAGACTTCTTAGGTGGATTTATTATTTATCATTCATGATAATTAATTGTTCATTTGAATCAATCCTCAGACATATTTTTTTTTTGTATGTCAGAGTAATTTTTTATATTTACAATGTTCATTATTTATGAATACAGATGAAATTAAATTCATGAAATATGCATCGTGATTTTTTATATACTATTTTGAAATAGAAAAATTAAAGAATTGAAAAACCAGAAAAATTGAAAAAAATAAGATTCATTTAATGTCAAATCAGTGTAAGATTAAGATTTAAAGTATTTTTTTTATCTGATATAAAATATTTTAAATTATAAATATCACCATATAAATTTGACTAAGAATTTGGGTACTATATACTTTTTCAAACTTGAATAAATAAAAACAATCACGTTCATATTTTAAATCTAATTGTCTTCAAAATTTTCAATTGTTTTTTTGAAATATGTTTTTATTTTTGAAGTGTTTTTAACAAAAAATGGCTGCAACTAAAACAAAAATAAGATTTCATTCTTATACTACCTAATTTCAATACGAATTTCCTTTTCACATATTTTCAAGCGATAAATTGAATACAATTTTTTTTGAAATTATATGATAAAATCATTGTATGATTTCATATGATGAAAGCATACAATGAGATGCTTTTGAGATATTTTGAATATAGTTTGGAATTTTTCATGATTTTAAATAGAATAATTAAAGTTTTGACTTCATACTTTTTGGAGTGAAATTTTTTTAAAATACAATAAAAATAATCTTTATTTCAATTAATAAAAAGTATATAATTAATAATTTAAATATTTTAAGACCAACAAAATTCAGTCAACAAGCATGAGCAGTATACAAATTTAACACATAAAGATTGAAATTTTAAGAAAATGCTTTTGAGATCATATGAACTATTCAGTCAAAAGTTCATATATATTTGCACACAAAACTAAAAGTCTGCACTCTCAAATTTATCATATTTTGCATCCATACATCTTCTATATATCTAAATTATGAATGTTATTCATATTTGTAAGATTTATTTTTGCAATTTTTTTAACACATGAAAATATTTTATTAAATACAATTTTAAATAATATCAATCTGGTCACATATAGTTCATCAACAATACATACAAGTATTTACAAAAATGTATAAATTTTACAGCTCAAATTTTGCATTCATCCAAAGAAGTCTTTGTGAATTCAGTTTCATGATGACATTTAAAACTGTATACAGAAGTGCATAAAATGCAAATGAATTTAGATACAATAAATTTATTCGTTATTCAGATAATTACCCAATAAATACACTTTAACTGTATTTATCCATCTGCGTTGTTAAATCACCACATTTGGTTGCAAATGATGAGAGTTTACGATGATAACGTCTGAACATCAATATTTGATTCTGTGAAATTCTAATGAATACAGAAATGATCATTTTGCCAATAATACGTGAAAGGTTAATTTCTAATCTAAGTAATATATATAAGATGTATACATATTTTTTTTTCTAATTTTTCAAAATCTTTCCATATAAAACATGAAATAACTATTTTTGAAGGACGTGAATCCTACATCATTTTCTATCCTTTATTCATAACATGACTTAAAATATATGGGGAAAGCTTGAGCACCATTAGCCAGTTGTATTATTTATGTAGATAAATTAACAATCTTAGCATATCTTACAACTGGAAGATACGTCATTGCTTTTGCTCTGATATAGGATTTTACACTTATTTATAATTATTATTCTAGAAGCCACAAGTTTTGTTATGTGCAAAAAATTGGACATATAAATACGAATAACTTAAAAGGTAATCACTCGGTAAAGGGTAAGTAAATAAGCATTACCTTTACTCTACACTCTACCTCACCCATTCATCAACTTTTTACCCCTAACTTTTACCTTTTACCCTTGATTAAAAGTTAATTTACCTTACCTTGTCGAGGCCTATATCACACTTCAAATAATCATTTATAAATATTGAAATAAAATTCAGAGCATAAAAATGATTGGCTACTCTTTGTTAATATAGTTTTCTATTCACATCCAGTGTGATTGGAAAAGTTGTTGTGAAAGATGAATTTAATGTAATTAAAGAAAAAAATTGGATATTGGCTTTATAAAAATACCTCAAATTAGTCAGATTATTGATGACAAAGGATAGATTGTTATTAGTACGGTATATTTGCTTAAAATGTTGTGAATGGATCTGATTGATAGATTCATTATATATATAATATTGATTTTTGAATAAAATAGTATGTATAGTTTCATCCATTCAGTTGAATAAGCATGGATTTTTTATTGTTTGAGTAAAAAAATTAAGTGCTTGTTTTGATACATGCTTGAAAGAAATGGAGAATTTAAACATAATATTTGCATACTACATTATATAATAACATTGAAATGATTACGAAATACTTCACCTAAAAATTGTAGATAATCTGGATACATTTTTTTTATAACCATTTGAGCACATGAAAAGTATCATTGTGTGACTGATTTCCAATGTTTTACAACAACTGGTTTCTTGTAGAGCACATATAGTCTGAAATAGAAGAAATAAGCCTAAGATAGTGATTTCTCACATCAAATAGTATGGTATGCTTTGAATCATATAAAAACGTATACCCATAATTACACCTGAATAGCATGAAATGATTTGTTTTCATTTACCCCAAAATAACATTATGCGAAAGATTTTGAGATCTGTAAACCCAAGTATATATCATTGGCTATTTGAATATTTTGCGGTACATATCAATGTTAGTACCATGTGAGATAAATAATATCCGGTGGCATCGCAAATACCATACGCTGATTACATCAAGGGTAAATACAGTTTGCGTTCAGAATGATCACTTAAATATGGAAACCTGATACACATGTAATATTTTCACATGTGAAATTGAATATGCACATGACTGAAACTCAACAGTCAAAGAAAAGTCATACATGTAGATGGTGGAAATATATTATCCTCTCGGAATAAAACGATTGGATTTGAAGGGGGTTTCTATAATGATAAATTCATCCCCACAATATTATTTCGAAGATCTGCAGTAAATCAACCTTATTATTGGGGATGGAAAATTAATAATCTATTCATAAACGAAATTTTGTTGTTGTACGTAGCCTGACTACTTAACCCAAAAAAAAAAATGGCGAGGAAATGTAATAAATTAATCTGCACACGTCATAGGACAATGTCGGAGTGCTACTTCAATCCATTGGAGTTCACTGCACCACAAGTTTTGCGAATCTCGCCGACGGATTTGACTCCCACACCACCCATGGCGCGCATGGCCTGTCCGAACTCTTTCTGAAATCGTCCTTCACTTTTCAGAGAAGTGACAGACCTCTTGGTCCGAGCATCCTCGAAAAGAGTCTGGTCTGAAGTGAACAGCCCCTTGCGTTCCGTAAGAGTGTTGAAGTACTTGGCATCGAATTCACCGGGAGTGAAGGTATCCATGAATACCTGGGTGTCAGTATTTTCGTCAGAATTCTGGGGGCATTGAGTTTTCAGCGACTCAGCATAAGTGGAGTCGATCGAGGGATCCGTGAAGTAAGAGGAATTGAAATTGTAGAGTCGGCCTACAATCTTGTCGCAATGTCCAACTCCCACGGTATGCGATCCCGAAAGTACAACCATCTCCCTTGTAGATAGTCCTCGCCTCACAAAAGCGCTTATGAGCTGCGTCGCGCTGTCGGTGGGCTTTGGTAAGTTGGCTTCAGCTGTGGCGGCGTTGGAAACGCGGCCGTCCTTTCGACCACCTTGCACCTCCCATGTCGAACCATTCAACTGAAAGAAACAAATTACCATGTCTTGGATGTTAGCCTTCCACCTTGAATCCTTAATAAACGGAATCAGACTCAATCTATTCCAAGCCCACGATCTGCCTGTACCCAAGCAGAATCGTTCATTGTAGCGACTTTTTCAGAGCAGTGACTTATTCAGATAGTACTGTATTTTGTCATAGGACATCACGTTTCTGCTCGTAAGGAAATATTACCTTGACGGTCCCATCACGAGCTGCATACTGAACGATGTCGGCGCAGGATACAACACCAGGGCAGATTTCTTCCACGGCTGCTTTCGCTGCGTCGATTACCTCGTACCCTTTGAGATTTGCGTTTATTAAGGCAGATCTTTCAGTATCAGATCCTTCGAGTAGTATAGAGCCGTCGCAGCCCTGTCACAATCAGATATAACTTGTTAGTCTTTAATATCAGACTCACGAAAGAAAATGACTACTAATGAGCGCACCAGATACTGGTATGCTGATCATATAACATCATACTTACTATCTTCATTTGTGCAATAGAGTCCAATCAGAGATATATAAACGGATACATGTCAAGATCACGTAATTCGTTACGTACTTCAACGAAGCAATCGTGGTAAGCCAAGCGAATAAGACCAGCTGCAGCTGCAAGATCCTTGTCCAGCTCGGCGTCAATGACCTTCTTCATCACTGACTCCGCGTCTTTGCATGATGTGCTGTAATAGTTGTCCTTTAACTGACCATATGAATATGAGCAATTACAGAGCTCACCAGAAAACAGAAGGATTGAGACTAGGAGTACGAAACCAATTTTGGTCATTTTCAACTCGGATCTCTCAAACTTGCTTTGCTGTCTTCCTCTTCTCTCAAATGTACACCTTGATTAGCCACAAAGTCCTCCCTTCGTCAGAGGCGAGCAGGAAAATGTATCTCAAAATCTCAGTGGCTTCAAGAAATCTAAACTCTCAACTTTGAGATCTCACGTGATAGGAGGAGAAAGTTGGCGACTCATATACTAATTCTTGAATGTATCCTTGATGACTGATCAGAAGCGGAGTGATTGCTCGAAAGCAGATATGTTCATGTGCTTTCAGATGATATGTGACTGGTCTATATATACAGGGAGTGTTTACATGGAGCCAACAAAAGCGTGTGAGTCCATACTGGAGGACCGTGTCACATGCATAGTGGTGGACGAGACTGGATTCATTGATTTGGATATTAAATTTAATTAAGTAAATAATGATTTTATTGGTGGAAACGTTGTCTTCAAGTCTCCAAGTCTCCAAGTTGCAAGATTAATTTAGGGGCCATCGTATAAATGAAGCTGTAGGGAATGGGTCAAGACAAGCATGTACCTGAAAGTCGATAACAGAACTAAACGGTGAATATCCTTGACACTTTCTTCAGGATGTGATGACTGAGCATGTAACTGGAGGAGCATGAACAATTAGACGCGATACTGACCCCTTCTGCGTATTGCAGTTGGCACCTTTAGTCTTACATGTCAACGAATGCGAATGTGTTGACTGAGTCTGAGAACTGTGCCCGAGGTCCCGGCCTGGAAAGACTTCTTATGTATAGATGCATGTCTTCGTCAGAAAACATTCGTTTTTCAGTTATTCTCATGGTTCTGCAGAAATTGCAAGCCCATGCTACTGTACCGGGCTGGAGAGGAAGTCTGCATTTGTCGGTTGAACGTATTTGACTGAAGAAGACCTGTATTTTTTCAATATATTTCTGATCGAGTCAGAATTGGCACCGGTTTGATGTGGAGTGGATTGAGTCCATCAAGCTTCATCTGCTGGGGAAATAGAACGTGAAGTTGGGCTATGCGGCCGACAGGCAGACTGCACATCACAAGTCCAGCTGTTTGACGTAGCACAGGTTTTGCTCTAAGGGTCAATTACTTACCAAATAAAGATATGCCATCAGTAATGAGAAATACAGAAAGACCAGTAATACCGCATTGTGGATGAAAATTTACACGCAAAGTGTTGCACAAGGTCAAGATGCATCCCCGGATGAAGAATTTGTCTGGTCTGTTCACGTGAGGGAGCTAAGTCGCAATTTTCCACGGGAACTCACTGGTGAGGACTTTAAGAAAGCTGACTTTTGTCTGATCTGCCTGTGCGGAAATGTTGCTATCGGAAAACATTCATATCAAATTGGTTGATGCGTCCCTTACATAGAGAGGGATTCTTTTGTGGGTTATCCATGTGCTACCCACTTTTGAGCATGGAGCTTACACCGACGATTAGGTAAATTACATTTATTGCGGATGTCATATATTTCTTAGAAATATTGTTGCACACAACATTGTTACCGACTCTAGCTTTACTTTTGTACACCTCAATATCCAAATAGCAGAGTATCCTTGAGCATTAGTGGTACCACTATCGCTCATATTATTTTTAAACTAGCAATTATGACCTTGGATCTGAAATATACTTCCTCGTGCAATCGACTTACATGATTGTCAAAATATGTCATATATATTTTGAAATATAAAATATGGAAAACCTAGAGAGTGAATATTGATCTTTTAATAGATAATTGACATTGCAACAATTCTGATAAAAAAAATTGTAGAATTATTGGTAAAGTTATTAATATAATAAATTCATACACATAAGATTGATATTCAAAATAATAATGTATTGCAAGTGAAATTTTTATCTTTCAAATAATACTGTATAAAATGATATCTAATTTTTTTTTAAAAAGTATAGAAATAACATATAAATTGACACATATTTTTTTCAAGGGGAAAAAAAATAAAAATCACAATTTTAAAAGACATGAGTGACGAAAGAGCACATCATTAGTACATTTTGAACTCTAAAAACTTCAAATTTTGATTCATTTAACTTCAAAAGACTCTCTAGTCTTCATATCTAAGGTTTATTAATTGAGTCAAATCCATGAAAAAAAATGTTATTAAAATGTGAGATAGTTATTACATGGCTCATGACACTTATATCATACTTAATTCATGAATTATTCTATCTTTTAATCAATTAGATAGATTTGTTAATTTAACTTAAGATTTTAAAAATTGTTTCAATATAAATATGAACATGGATGTGAGTTCTATTTTGACATCCAAACTCAAGAAAAAGTATGCGTAGATAGGGCTACATGGAAATCAAAGGTACTCTTTGGTATAGCGAGTTGTAATACATTTGAAAACCTACGATCTCATTCCTTATATGTGTTTGTGTGTGTGACTAGAATGTAAGCGATGTAAAGTTTATGTGAAACCATCTTTAGTTAGTTAAACTAAAGTAGAGGTTACTCTAAATATTGATATAGATACTTTAGTGTACACTAGTCATAGCTGCCACGTCAGCGATCCGCGCACTTGGTAGGTATAGAGTGGATGTGTTAGTTGACAGTGCCACGTGAGCAATTCATGTGCTTGTAGGTAAGGATTGAGTGTGTTAGTTGGGAGCGCCACGTCAGCGATCCGCGTGCTTGTAAGGGTTATCCACCACATCATCCATCCACTAGAAGTGGGATGAATGGTGGGGATAAGATCTTATCTCCTTGTATTTGTTGGTGAGAGCTATATAAGGGAGATGAGAACCATTGTTAGTATCTCTAATCTTCAGAGTTTACGTTTCTCTTTAAACCCTAGTGTTACATTATGGTGATATATATTCAGACAACAAATTACATGTAAGTTATAGATACTTAAAATTGAATCATCCTATAATTTATATTTATTAATTGAAATTTTATATAAGTAGTTGGATTATACAAACACACTTATAAGGAGAGATTTGCTTGATGGTACTCTTGCGGAAAGTAATTTGCTTGATGGTACACTTTAGGTTTTGTTTTACCCGATGGGACCCTATGAACGATGCATCGTCATCCATGTTGTAATAATGACTTGAGATTTAGAGAGAATGCAACGAGTCAACCACACCCGCGGAGAGAGCGGACTTTGCCCTCCATCACACTCCCTTGTTGTTATTTTGTAATTATGAATCCGGCCACTCCCTAAAGTGACGAGCAAAGAAATGCTCATCCGGAGTTTATTTGTTCGCCACAAATGGAGTACAGCTAGACTTGAGCTCGGATCACTTCCCGGTACGAGCTCCTTGTCGTATGCGCAGGGTTACAGAAGGAGGGTGTCGGCGGCAGGCAGCAGAAAAATCCGCGAATTATCCATATTAAAAGATTTTGTGAACAATTAACTTCTTCATACAATGAATGTCCTTCATCTTGGATTTTTATGACTTCTAATTGTACCACGATGAGCCAATTAATCTTTTATAATCATTTGGATCAACACTGTTACTTCTTTGTATATATACATCTTAAAATTTCATGATATATTTCTAATAATAAATAATGGGTGCTGTACATTTTATAATCTGCTTGGTCTGATTCTTTATTAAACACAACAGAGGCCATATACTACTTTAAATATGTACCATAACCATGAACAGCAATCTATGCACATACACAACATTACTTATTCCCACCCATGCTAGATAAATTAGGCCAATTGTGTTATGTGTATGACCTGGTTGGAGCTGCGCTATGCCAAACGCTGCCTATGGCATTACTATTAGTTGTGCCCGCCCATGGAAAAATAATGTCACCCAAAATCTCTAGGCATGGTAACCCAATGTTGGGTTCTGCTGCACAATGTAGCTTGTTATATAAGATTTCAAAAAGTATTGTTATATCAGTTGAAGAAAATCTATATGATACAATGTCTGTACATATCTCTCTACTTGTGTACTGTAACTACAATATATTCTTATAAAGATGAATGATTTTCATTTAATCTGATCTACTATTACGAAATGAAAAGTTAAAACATGTAAGAAAAAAGCATTGAAAATATTGTTAAAAACAGTAGACTTTGAAAAGTTTTGAAGATTGCAAAATCAGTATCTGATTGTGGTAATTTTAATCTCTATTAAAGATTTACAATCTATTACAGTATATACTGCAAAAATTTATATTTTAGAGTTAAAAATAATTTAAAGTAATAAAAGATTTGAATTATCGATTGATAAAAGTTGTCTGAATGCGCTTTTCAAATGCGACTATGTTTTACTTAACTGAGAAATGTGAGTGACACCAAGGAATCCAGCAATGTTCATTTGATTTACATTGATTAAATTTAGTGCATGATTTACTTTAAGCCAAGAGTTTTAAAAGTTCATAGGATAGTAAGATTGAGACGGTATATGAGCCAAGGATAAGACCATTTAACTTGTGAAATGGAGAAAATCCGTACTATCATTAGGGATGGGCACGCAGCCGGCTAAGCCATGGCTAGCCGGCTAGCCGATACAAACGGTTTCTATTTCCGAAATATAAGGCGAGCCTTTTAGCCAACGGCTAGCCGGCTAGTGCCCCAAGATTAGCCGGCTAGCCGTTGGCTAAAAGGCTCGCCTTATATTTCGGAAATAGAAACACGTGTCTGTCTTCTCTTTGTGAAAACAGTTTAGTTTAGGTAACAGTTCTCTCCATGTTTTTAGTGCTGAAGTATTTCTGAAAACAGTAACATATCATCCTTGCACACGAGAATTTTGACATCAAAAAAAGGAACAGTACAGACACCTCACACATGGACCAAGATCAAGAAACTGAGAATGGTGAACTTGCTGTTCTACCTTTGTCTTCACTGGCAGTATCCTCCAGCGGTCGTCGTACAGAAAAACGAAAGCGCATCTCTTGGGTTCGTCCTTATTTTGTACCTGTACCAGGATCCAACCGACTTGCTTGCATTGCGAGCAAGTCTTGTTCAAGAAATTATTCAACCACTTCCGCGACCTCAAATCTAGTTTTACATCTGAGGAACAGTCATGGCATCACGCGCGAATCACTGGAAGGCGCATTGCCAGGTGATCCTACTCAAACCACATTTACAAAATTCGGTTCATTTTTAGAAGTGCATAATGTTCTTGATGATGAGACGAAGGCAAAGATCATGACGAGTGTGGTAGATTGGGTAATTGACACGAAGCAAAGCTTTTCTTCAGTTGAATCAGTTTCTTTCAAACAAATGACAAACGCTCTAAATTGGTTTTGGCCTAGCTGTTTGCGCCGAAGTCTTACTCGAACCATATCGGACGAAATGAAAACGGCTACCAAAAAATTTTGTGATATTGTAGAGGCTATTCCAGGAAGAGTTGCAATTACGTGTGATGGGTGGTCTACTAGAACTTTGCAAAGTTATTTTGTTATTACGCTTCATTGGATTGACGAAACCTGGACGTTGCGTGACTGTATCCTTGACTTTAAGTATTTTCCACCACCTCACGTCAGTGGTCAACAATGTCACTTATTTTGGAATCTTTAGTTTTAGCAAATGTGCACACGAAAATTATAGCTGCAACGACTGACAATGCCAGTGAAATGATTCCTGCTTTCCAGCATCTAAGAGACGAACTGAAAAATAAATTTGTTGTTAATCTAGACTATAGATGGCACCTTCGCTGTGTGCCATATCATGCATCGGGCTGTGATTGACAGTGAATCAATTTTCAAACCCAAGGTGGAAAAACTCCGCGCAATGTTGAAGGCGATACGTTTATCATCTCGAATGCGTGCTGACTTCAAGAAGGTCCAAGTTCTTCTAAGGGCGCGAGAACACGAGACGAAGGAAGTTCCTGGGCTTGATGTGGAGAATATGTGGAATACTATGTTTATAATGATTGATTCCTCCTACAGTCTCATGGAGGCGTTTCAGTCTCTGTCAAACATGTCTAAACATTATAGTAAGCTTGTGACTTTGACTGCAATTGAATGGAGGGTATTGAAGTTTTTTAAAGATTTTCTTGCTTCCGCTTATGAAATGACTATTTTATCTAGCGGCAGATATGCAACTCTGTCAAATCAACCTTTAGTTTTTGAATCTTTGAAAACGCATTGCCAAGACACCATTAACGGTACGATTAATTCTGGTTTCACTGCACCTGTGTATAAAGATGCTGCGAGGGCATTGATGATAAAACTAGAAAAACATCATGAGCATTTGACTGGCCTGTTACCAATGTTAGCTCTAGCACTTGATCCTGCAGTTCCAAAGACAGATCAAGAAATAGTACCTCTGACGACACGACTTCGAGAAATTCTTCGACAACAATATGGTATAGATGGTACACATGAACATGGTTCTTCTTCTGCTTTAAAAAACAGGACCAGAAGTATGCTTATTGCTGCGCGTAGAGCACGAGCTCCAACGTTTGATTTTAACAGTGACCGAGATGATGTCTCCAAAGAAATTACAGATTTTTTGCAGTTTACAAAGACCGGAGATGAATCTTGCGACGATGCAGTAGTGTGGTGGGCAGGAATTGGACGCAAGTGTTTTCCTCGTTTGTCACTCGTTGCACGCGACACTTTAATGTGCATGGGTTCTTCAGTGCCATCAGAATCTGCATTTTCAGATAGCGGTGCTATTGCCACTGCTGAGAGTAACCGCTTATGTGACACATCCATCAAAACTACCATGAAGTTGCGATCATGGAAGAGGCTGTTTAATGAAATAAATAAAACATCCCTGTGAATTACTCAGGTTCCCAAGTTCTTGGATTGGTTTTCCGTAAATGAAGAAACTTAATTAACTTTGCAATCTGTGTTTAATTTACTTCCATTTGTGGTTTGGCTGTTTCGTGATTGATAGTTTGTGATTGATTTCTGTTAAATTCGTGACCCATTGGATGAATTTGTGATTTATTTTCGAATTACTCAGGTTCCAAGTTCTTGAACTAGTTTTTTAAAAATGAAGAAACTGAGTATCATCTTTGTTTAATTACTTTGATTTGTAATCTAACTGTTTCGTGAATGATGTATGATGGTTTATATCAGTTAAATTGGTGACCCACTGAATTACTTTGTGAGTTATTTTCAAATCATTCAAATTCTCAGGTTCACAGAACAGTTTTTCGAGAATGAAACAACTCAATGTTAACTCAGTGCTATCTTTGTTTAAGTACTGCGATTTGTGGTCTAGTTGATTCGTCAGTGATGGTTTATGATTAATTTCTAAAAAAATCGTGACCCATTGAATTACTTCCTGAGTAATTTTCAAATGATTCCAGTTCTCAGGTTTTCAAATCAGTTTTTCGAGAATAAAGCAGTGAGTGTTAACTCTGATTAATTAGTGCAATTTGTGGTCAAGTTCATTCGTCAGTGATGGTTTATGATTAATTTCTAATAAAATCGTGACCCATTGAATTACTTCCTGACTTAATTTCAAATGATTCCAGTTCTCAAGTTTTCAAATCAGTTTTTCGAGAATGAAGCAGTGAGTGTTAACTCTGTGTTATCTTTGTTTAATTAGTGCGATTTGTGATCAAGTTGATTCGTGAGTGACGGTCTATGATTAATGTTTATTAAATTCGTGATCCATTGAAATAATTTGTGAGTTATTTTCAAATCTCTCAGAATACTTTCTCGGGAGTGAAGTGTTATATGTGTTTAGTTTCTCGAGAACGAAGTGTTATTTGTGTTTACTTCTTTATGTGTCAATCTGTGATATGGCTACTTCTTGAATAGAAGTTTTAATCTCTGTTGAATTCGACATGAATGGAAAGAATTGGTGAGTTTTTCACACCAGTAGTAAGAGATTCGTAGTGCAAGCCTCGAATGGAACTCGCGTACATGAGGTGACAGATTACATCGAGAATGCAAGAAGGAAATTAGTACTTTGCACTAAATTGTCAGACGCGTCAAGCATATCTCGACACGTAGCACTCACCGGCTTAGCCGTGAGCCGATGGCTAGCCGGCTATATAACCGGCTAGCCGGCTCACAAAAATTTCTAGCCGGCTAGCCATTAGCCGTGCCGTGCCCATCCCTAACTATCATCAAGCGGAGTATTAAGGAAATATAGAGTGATGAAGATGAATTTCTTAAGAATGATAGTTTTCATCTAATTTAATCTAATCTAATCACCTACTAGTACATACAAAAAGTACTTTTATCACTGTACATGAAAAACAAATAGATAAAATTTCAGATAGGTTTTCACCAATAGCATGCTAAGTTAAATGAGTTTTTTTATGTAAAGTAGTACCACAAGATGCACTAAGTAATGTGTCAAGATATATGGCAGGACCCCATCATGATCAAAGTGTCGTAAAAAATAATCTTCGGTAAAATGGGTCGGCTCCAACAGTAATGGGAAACATATCACTTGTACATAAGACCTCGGAACCATGTAAGTAAAATTTTAATAAAAATAATAAATATCACCTAGAATGTCATTGCTTCACGGTGTTTGTAAAAAAAAAATTATTTATCAAAAATTGGAATCTGCTTTTGATTGACTCATTCAAGTTTGGGAACAAACAGGAACGTTTCACAAAGACAACGTCTTTGTCGTCTACCCGGCGCCCGCACAGTGGTGCGACCGTCGACGGCGGAAGCGTCGAACCGTCGGCCGTCATCGAAAGGGCCAGCACGACCGCGAGAGCACTTGAACATGGCTGCCGCAGGTTTGCGCTCTTCGGTTCGTCTGTCGAGACACGTCTGATCTCAAATCTGCTCTTTTTCATGTGAACACGATCGATCGAGACATCGATCGACCTCGCGATCGGTACATTGCTCGTTGGAACAGCAAGATCAGGACGGGGTGAAGCAATGACACTTTTCCACTTTTTCAATTGTGCGGCCCTGACGTTTGGGCCCCACGCCGTGTACTATCAGGCCACTCCGTTGTGAGTTTTTTATAATATGCGGAATTTGAATTCTCTCAGTGAAGATTTTGTTTGCTGGTTGCCACGCTCGGAGTCGTCAGCTGAGGCTTCTTCAACCTGGGAGTCCTCGTGAAGAATTACATGATTAGATCTGACTTTGAAGCTTAGGGTTGTGTCTGGCTCGTAAAAGTGTCCATACTCGTCTTGTATCGCACAGAAACTTCAATCCATATTTATTTTTGGGCACGAGTGCCCGCAAGGAGATTCTTCATTGAATGGATCACTAATATCGGATGGTGGGAAGTGTCACATTCGGATTTTTTACGTTAAGCTCTTACCCAGCCACAACCTGAAATGGACGTGGCAGGATGTAGCTGATTTAAGAAAAAACTTGCAGCCATTTTCTCTGTAACCTCGGTTGCATTGCTAGAGATGTGAGGGAAAATGTTAAAATTGGGATTTGTGCAGATCGGAGTATGACACTGTGGGATCGTGCATTAGAGCGGCCCTTGTGTACCTCGGGACCACTCTTATCAAGGTATATCCGCACTCCTACTTTGGAATGCCGCGCAGTATAACACAGCAGATCTGGTTTTTGATCGACACCATCGGTAGATTCTTACATCCTTCTCAGTTGTGGAGACTGCAATGCATGGATTCTTAGAGTAGGATATTCAGAACATATAATGCTTTTTGTATCACCTTTTTTTTTAGGGGAGCCGAGAATTTGATATGTTAGACCTTGCTTTGGTAGAGCAAAGGTAGGCGGCATTTGTGTGTTACAGAGAACGAAGGTTGTCAGCACAGCTCATGTCTTAAGCTGTTCTTAGTGAGCATTCGATTTTGGACAACTGACCTTCTTGGTAAACTGCCTCGTTTCATTTTGCTGGCTTTTGTTGATATACGCATTATACTCGTTGATTCTGGCAGTTGGTATGTTTGGCAACGTTTTTGCACGGCACGGAAAGCGAAGGCTTCGATTTTACGCAGGTATGTGTTGGAATTCGATATATGTCTTCCATCTATTGGAGCGTGAATGTAAGTCGGCTGTATATAGTGCGAAGCACATTCAAAGAATAGCCACTTTGCTAATATGTGTAATATGCCGGTTGTTTTGCAGGAGATTCTGAAGGCCCTCATTGGCTTCTTGGATGTGGCTGGACTTTACTTTGCCCTTACGCAACTTACTTACAGAAATATATCTCAAACTCACAAGTTTCAAGCAATTGGTCTCGGTAAGTTGCAAACTATGATTCTCCTGGTTATTCTCAATCATGGTTGTAGTCTTCCCTGTTGATCACATACATCTGGATACTACGCCGCTTACGTAGATCTGGGCAAGTTAAGTATTTTACAAAAGGAGTAGATTCCCACTTCTTGATTTGTGTGCTTGCTAGATACTACACTCATTAGTATTTGCCTGTCATAGTTTGAAGACCATGGCTTAGTGTCGCAAGTAGTAGCAGACTTGGGAGAGGAAGAATCGATATGGGATGAAGAGGCAGGCGGATGAGGGGATGCCTTCTAAGAGTGAAGGAATTCTCTCTTGTATTAGCACTTCTCCCTTGTAAATCGGGTTCGTTGGGAGCTTCTAGAGACTAACCAAGAAGCCAGTCTTGTGAGGCCAACGAACCCAAATGAAGCTCCCCCCCAAGGGATTCCACCCAAAGGACCTGCAGCTTTGGTGTGTGAATCAAGGGTTAGAATGCTGCGTATGTTTCTGGCGTCTTCAGCTGAACGGGGGTGAACCAGATTGTGGACAACGGTTTTGTCCCCTGTACCACACCTTGTTCAACTTGCGGGTCTGGTTCCACATTTTGCTCTTCTTGTGGTACATCTCATTAAACTTCAGCCTGCTGCCCAGGTTCTGCCACAAATCTGGTGCCGAGATTAGTTCTTCGGGCTCCGGTATACCCTGTACCTGTCTGAGATAAGGTTTAGCTGGTCTCTCCTGCTTTTGCTAGTGCAGATAGCATGAAAAGGAGTTCGGGGTTTTTGGTGAGATGGCATATGGTGCAGAGTTCTTGTCTATCCATCTTTGGAGTGTCTGCACGAGTTTTAGTAGTACTCACTCTGAAATCGGATCTTACTACTACCCGATCTGTTCGTACGGAGTCTGCAACCATAGTGTGAAAACCATCTCAGCTGAACCTATCTCGGTGAGTGGTGGTACATAATTATTGATAGTAGATTGTGCAGTGCAGTTGAAGGTTTGATGTCAGTCGTATATCCAAACACCGGAAGAACTTAGCTTGACCCTTACCTAATTGTGCCTCTTCTTAGAGTTTTTTTTGTATGTGGGATCTCCGTAGACTATTTCTGAGAAATCAATGCAAAGTACTGTATGTATTAGCCTCCGCCACATGGAGCTACTCTTTGTCATCTAAATTCCACTGCCGAGCTCGCTCCTCAGATTGACCTTTGAAACTCTAGGTGCATACTCACATATATATCTTTCCTTTTGGATGAAGAGTTTCTTCTGTCTAGACTCTCGTGGTGTGCTACTCACTTATTGGTGGGGGATGTGTTCAGTGTTTTGTTTTATTTTCCTGCTTTTTGTCTCCTTTATGTGCATAACAAGGTTGATTGAGAGGCACAAGGAATGGTTGTTGTGTTCTTATATACGATCTTATTAACGTTTTCTATCTCTCGCTAACTCGACACTCTCCGTTGCTTGGTTTTTTATATTCTTGTGTCCGGCTAACACTCGGTAATTGTTTTTTCATCTTAAAGGATGGGCATTTGCAGACTCGTTGGTACATAGATTAGCTCCACTGTGGGTTGGCGCAAGGGGTTTGGAGTTCACTTGGGACTACCTTTTGAAAGGACTTGAGTCAAATGCTAATCTGGTAAACTTCTCAAAACCACTTATATTTCCTGAGCCCAATCTTGCTCTATCATGCGCAGGAGCGTTGTTCTGATTCTTTCCAATGGACTATAAGGTACTTTCTGTATGTTATCAGGATTTAACTTACGTCTGGATGACCGGGTGCAGGTTTTCACAGTCTGTTTGGCAGCACTCGGCTCTTTGATGTGGCTGAGGAAGAACAAGCCTGCGACCCTAGTTCCCATCATATATGCAAGTGCTGGTCTTGTTGCTACGATGCCTTCAATCACCAGGTCATTCTTCCTTAACATCTTTCGATACTGAAATTATTTGTTTGGACTTCGTCGCTTCTTGACCTTGGAACTGAGATAGTTTGATGCTTCAATTGTTGAACAACTCTTAAGAGGGTACTGCATGTGAGACGTCATTCCTGATGAGGCTTGTTCTGTGAATTACAGTTACTTGCGTAAGGGACTGCACTGGGATTTCTCCAAAGTTGTGGGCTTTGAGCTCGCCGCTTCTCTAGCAATGGCCTTCGTTACATGGCGACTTTTCAGCGCATGCCAAAGACCTTCCTAGACAAAGGCTTTGCGTGTCATATTCTTCTTGTTTTGTTCCTGCTACGTAATGAAACAACAGGTTACTCCCATTTTTTCAGCCTGTACTGTAACGCATTTGTCTTATTCACATCTGAAGATTGGTCGTCCATTGTTGGGAATGTGAGCTTTGTTCGCTACTTAATGGTAACTAACCGGTCCCGGGTATTTCATATTTTGTCAATGATCAATGCTTGCAAATGCTTGTTGTTCCATCGAAGGTCGAGGTGATTATTAAGACCTCAGAAATGGTTGTCATCATTTTTTGGTTGATGATATCGTTTTAAGTGTGGGACTACATTGGTTTGTACTTCATATTTCATTTACTGGGATGTCCTGGTTTGCGGCTTTCCCGGTGTCACTTTCTTAAAACTGTTCTGGAAATATCGTGGGGGTCGGCATTTCGATTTAGGAATATGCATGCGCTTGATGCGCTCGAATGCATGATGAATGCGCTTGATGATGATCGGTGCGCCGATGCCTCAAGCAGAATGTCATGCGGTTTTCCCAAATATAAATGTAGTTAATACGTATGTAGTAGCTTCCTTGATAAAGACTAAATCGATGGCATGATGCACTACGCTCGCACTAGAGCCACAGGCCTCAAAAGAGCGAGCCGAGAGGATTGTTCGCTGAATTTTTCAATGGCACTGGCCCTGTTCAGTGCACAGATTTTTGACAAATGGTTTGATGGCGGTTTCTAGGGCGGCTTTCTCGGAATGTTTCTTTCGAAATTTGAGCTCTAAGAAACGGCGTGGCATCTACGGACAGCATAAAATAATGGATATTGTGGAGAAATGCCGACTAATGAATATGTTATGTACTGAAACACTAGATCCATGTGCACACCGAAAAGCCTACTGGAGAGAATAGCAGTGATCCCAGTAATGACGATAGTGGACACCTCTTGTCTGTCAGGTTGACTTGAACGCAAGATTTATGGAAGTCAGATGAATGGGAGATCTTACAAATAGCTGACGATCTACAGGAACTAGGGAAACATCATGACTGTTAACTTGTCATTGTTACACGATACTGTTCTGTAGTACATTCGGTACCATTCATTCTCGATCTTTATGGGGTTTCAGCAGAAGCGTGCAGTGTATTTGATCTATGTCGCGCTATTGGTGGTTGGACAGGAGAAAGCAGCAGAATAGCAATTTAGTATGTATTTACAATTGTTTCTTCTCGACTTGCGGGGTTTAGAGCTGAAGGTATTGAGCCTGAAACCTACGGATAGGTGAGCTTTAACAACGGTAGATTATAATCAAGAATGCTTTCTATTTTTTTGAGAGAAGTCTGATCTATTGATTGCTGTCAGATGAAAAAAGCACGCTCAATTCATCGCATGTCTCACAGAATAAGCTTCCTGTCTTTATCCAAGCCAGCATACCTTTCACATCTCTCACCTTGCACTTCAACGGCCGGAAGAAGGTCAATGGCAAAGTCAATTACGGCTTGTAGGAATGAATGTGGCAAGACAATTTATTAGATAAGCTGGAAAAAAGAGGCCTAAATTCTGGCGCGCAAGGACAGTGCTTGAAAGCGGGGACAAGACTACATGTGCACTGCTGTTACAGTGTGCTGCCTCGATGTTGGTCAGATACTCGAACTAGGGCAGCTTCGTAGCTCCTGCAGCAAGGGTGTACAGAGGAGGTGTACAGTAGAACGAGATTATTTGCTCACAACTCTTCACTTTAGGCGATTCTGGAAGCAGTGGGACTTTCACGATAGGTTCGTCCTAGCGAAAGTGTGTAAAAGCACTTGGAAATCCATGCATATTTCTTGCAAATCAGGATTGAACATCTGTCAGTAATTTCGTGTCTCAATTGAATGTGATTACTGCAAAGGGGGCAGATGGAGTAAGGTTTTCTGTGGAAGGCGATGTGTACATCCAATCCGTTTTACCACGTTCATTGAGCAAGCCGTGTGCACGTGTGACCTGAATAATGAGTTTGAGCTTCTATAGCAACAATGTAAAGATAAACTCGATCAAGAGCTGACGTATTGGCCTTTGACTTCGAAATTAATCCAAGTAGGTTTCTGCACTGCTTGTAACCAGAAAGAAACTACACTGAGTATTTCGAGTAAAAAAGAAACAAGTTTTTGTGAGGAACTTTTCTAGAGTCTGAGCACTCCAATAAGAATTATAGTATGTTTCATGCATGATACAGAAAATCACCTAAACATTCAGGATGAACTTCAGAATATGTTAAGTAGAACTGACTACTATCTTTGAGGATATCATCTTATCGTTCGTCTCCATAGAACTCGTTCTCCAAAGGAAACTCTTCATCGGGCTCCCATGCTGGAGCAAATAAACAATAATGGCTTTTATTGATGCTCTCTTTCTTGATATCTTCATCCCACATTTCAAACACTCCAGATTTACTCCACCCTTTAGTTTCATACACATGCACGGCGAATATTGTGAAAGTCCTTTCCGCACCTCTTCCACATAAAATTGAATGCTTTAAGTCTTCCAAGTTATGGTTGCGAAGGAAGTGAACCACGAGAGATCCTTTGCCTGAACTGGGTGTAATAAAATTTAAAGCTTGGAATCTGACTTATGACTGAATGACATCAGTCAATACCACAATATTTTATTTTTCATGCGCGTTAGTGACTGCAAGATTCTGTGCATGGGCATTGACAAGTGTGCGATGTTCTGCCTAGCCAAGAAATGTTGGGTTCTTCGGCACTCGAAAAGAGGCCAAATTCGACGTCCACTGACATGAGCCAAAGGTTGTTTCTGCGGAGTGATACAAATGACCTTATGAACAACCAAAGTACTTTTAGGTAGTTACAGCTACTGAAAGCGAGAGTCCTTTAGGGAAACACAATATTTCTGCGAGATTCATGTGATCCCCCATTCACAGCTTTTCATCAAATGATGGAAGGACTTTTTTCTCCAAACATTCCAATTATTCTCACATGCCAGCAGACATGAAGGTCCACTGACAAAGGCCTCACAACATTCAGATAAACCAGCGCATGATATGTCTCCACGCTGCTGAGCTACAGCCTCCATTTCTATGATATCCCAAATATATGTGACCTGTGAGTACATTAAATAGAGAATATAAAGCTTTTGGTAAGAAGACGAAAAGAACTCTGTTAGCTACTTGGGGTTCTCAAGTAGCAGAATGAATGTGTTGAGTCTCCTAAGCTGCAGCAAATAAAGTGACCTGTTTCCACTGCAGCAGAAACTTTAGTAGTGTATTTTGGACAAGTCTGCAACATATGTGGTCCAGACTCTTGGTCAAGAATTTCTTGCAAGCGTTCTGTGTCACTCGGTTTTTTATTGTATTACAGATGCACAATAACATAATTGACAAATCTTTACTTTGGAGGTTACCTTCTACTGCGGGACATGGGAGGTCATTAAACAGAAGATTCTTTGACAATGAATAAAATTCTTATGGTGGTGACGTGTCCCTCTTGGTTGAAACAGGAAGTAGAAGGACTCGACGAGAAATCGATGGGTTCATTTTAGATTACCAATAGTCCACTTCCATCTTCCAAACATTTCGAATGATGGACAATGTGGACGACTGGGCAGAAATCTGAATGAGGATGGCCGCCGCTGACAGCGTGACTCGTAGCCAACTCTGGTCAGCTGTGATTCAGGACTCGCCAGATTTTCAGACCGTTACTTTAGTGACAGTTGAAGGGCAGCGAGGCATTGATTTGCAGCTTGACTAGCCGGTGGTCAAAGACCATATTCATTCGCAGTCATTGAATGTCGCAGAAAGCTTTCTGTCGCCTCACTCGTTGACCAGCAAGTATGTCCCCATAGTATACTTAACACCTTAGTTCAAAAGAAAGCTGACAGAATAAACGTGCATCATATAAATAAGACCCTCAAAAGCTGACGACATGTACGTAGTAGATTATGGGCACCAAGCTGAAGTGGTTTCAGCTACGATCACTTGATGTGGTTTGGAATAAATCCATTCAACCAGCCTCAAACCAGGACAAGTACACACTGCAGTAAGGAGACAGAGCTAGAGAGAGTCATGAAGGTCATCGACAGACATGTCGACGTATTTCTATTTTTTTTCATAACTAGCTAACATAGTATCAAGTAAGGTAATAAGAAGTGTCGGGCACATACAAGGAAGAGACCAAACCACAAGTATAGATTACAAATTTAGATAAGGAAGCTCATGCCCTTCCATCTAGTTTGGTAATATCTTGCAAGTGACACATGTCATGAACATGTGTGGCATAGCTAGTGATTTTGTCTGAATTTTTTTTCTAGTGATAAACTATTGCATTCAGCCATATTATTGCGCAGACCTTCGTGCAAATGACGAATAGAAATACAAAGTATTAAAAATTTGGAAGTTAATGTGATCTTGTTTGTGACTATGTTTGTCTGAGTCATAAGTAGCTAGTTATTAATTCGTTGGAGAAATATACAGAAGAACTTCTAAAGGGTTTGCATGACTAGAATTCAATTTTTAGAAAAATAAAATATTTCATGAAGATGCAAGGAGGAGAAATTAAGAGATTGAGGAAAACTTGGAGAGGTTGAAATATCATCTGATACTATTTTCTTCACATGAATATTATAACGAACTCTCCTATGATAATTGTAAAATGAAGATTTTACAGAAAGCATGAATAGAATAACGTTCATTCACTAGTTGACGGTCTAGATAAAAAGTTAAATCATAATAGACAGACATCATAATTTGGATGATTGCAAAATGCTCTCCAAGATGTGCTTAAGATATTGTTGCGAATCAAAATAAGCAAGCAATATTTGCAAAGGAACAAGTTTAAAAGGAAAACTATCAAGTGAAAGCACAGAATTTAATTTTTAACTTTGAACAATAAATAAATATTGTAAAAAATAATTTAATCCGATATTACGTTTTTTCATTTTTTAATATTAAATGTTAATTTTTACATAATAAAAATTATCACACTGTAATATTTTTGGCTACCTTATTGCAATAATTATGACACAAAAAGGAATTAAGAAAGATTGAGCTTCACACAGAACTTAAAATGAAGAACCAAGTAAAATATTTACCTGAAAAATATGAATATTTGAATGATAAATATGGTTGCTCAAAGAGCTGAATGCATAATAATAGA